CTCGTATTTTTGTACAATTTCCTTCTTCAATTATATCATATTTATTATTATTATTATTATTATTATTATTATTAATATTATTATTATTATTATTATTATTACTATTGTTATTATTAGCTGTAGCAGAAATGTTTAATTCTTTGCAGTGTTCAAGAGTAAACACATGATGCCACCGTCTAATACCTGTCCGAATAGCCATTCCAATATGCAGTCATGAATGGGTTTACATTATTTATACTGTAGTTTAATAGCAAATAATGAACAAACAAAACACTCACCACACTGAGTGGTGGGAGGGCTGGCTACCAGTTGCGGGGATCGGAGGGAGGGTAGTAGGGACTCGCAGGTGGTGGGAAACTTAAATATGATTTGGCGGCTGGGAATTTGGTGGCTGGGAATTTGGCGGTTGGTAATTTGGTGGCTGGGAATTTGGCGGTTGGGAATTCGCGAATGTGTGAAGCTCGTGAAAGTTGAAAACGTGAATGTTGAGGGAGACCTGTACAGTGGACCCCCGGTTAACGATATTTTTTCACTCCAAAAGTATGTTCAGGTGCCAGTACTGACCGAATTTGTTCCCATAAGAAATATTGTGAAGTAGATTAGTCCATTTCAGACCCCCAAACATACACGTACAAATGCACTTACATAAATACACTTACATAATTGGTCACATTCTGAGGTAATCGTTATGTGGGGGTCCACTGTATATTTATTGAAGTAGTCCTTGACATTTACAGGCAAATACAGTATGTGAAGAGAGAGAGAGAGAGAGAGAGAGAGATAGAGAGAGAGAGATAGAGAGATAGAGAGAGAGATATATAGATGATGAGAGAGAGAGTAGAGAAGAGAGAGTGAGAGAGAAGAGTTGAGAGAGAGAGGAGAGATGTAGAGAGAGAGAGAGTGTAGAGAGAGAGATGTAGGAGAGAAGTAGTAGAGAGAGAGATGTAGAGAGAGAGAGAGATGTGAGAGAGAAGAGAGAGAGGATGTAGAGGAGAGAGGAGATGTAGGAGAGTAGAGAGATGTGAGAGAGGAGAGAGATGTAGAGAGAGAGAGAGATGTAGTAGAGAGAGAGAGAGATGTGTGGAAGGAGAGTGAGAGAGAGAGAGATGTAGAGAGAGAGAGAGAGAGAGAGAGATGTAGAGAGAGAGAGAGATGTAGGGGGATGAGTAGATGTAGAGAGAGAGAGATGTAGAGAGAGGAGAGAGAGATGTAGAGAGAGAGAGATGAGAGAGGGAGAGATGTAGAGAGAGAGAGAGAGATGTAGAGAGAGAGAGAGAGAGAGAGAGATGTAGGGAGAGAGAGAGATGTAGGGAGAGAGAGAGTGTAGAGAGTAGAGAGAGAGATGTAGGGAGAGAGAGAGATGTAGAGGAGAGAGAGAGATGTAGAGAGAGAGAGAGATGTAGAGAGAGAGAGATGTAGGAGAAGAGAGATGTAGAGAGAGAGAGAGATGTAGAGGAGAGAGATGTAGAGAGAGATGTAGGGAGAGAGAGAGAGTAGAGAGAGAGAGAGATGTAGAGAGAGAAGAGAGATGTAGAGAGAGAGAGAGATGTAGAGGAGAGAGATGTAGAGAGAGAGAGATGTAGAGGAGAGAGAGAGAGATGTGGAGAGAGAGATGTAGGGAGAGAGAGAGATGTAGAGAGAGAGAGAGTGTAGAGAGAGAGAGATGTAGAGAGAGAGAGAGATGTAGAGAGAGAGAGAGAGAGAGATGTAAGAGAGAGAGAGAGATGTAGAGAGAGAGAGAGAGATGTAGGGAGAGAGAGAGAGAGAGAGGAGAGAGAGAGAGATGAGAGGAGAGTGAGAGATGTAGAGAAGAGAGAGATGTAGAGAGAGGAGAGAGAGAGATGTAGAGAGAGAGAGAGATTGTAGAGAGAGAGAGAGAGATGTAGAGAGAGAGAGAGAGATGTAAGAGAGAGAGAGAGAGAGAGATTGTAGGAGAGAGAGGAGAGAGATGTTAGAGATGAGAGAGAGAGAGAAGATGTAGAGATGAGAGAGGAGATGTAGAGAGAGAGAGAGAGAGATGTAGAGGAGAGAGAGAGATGTAGAGAGAGAGAGAGAGAGATAGAGATGTGAGAGAGAGAGAGAGATGTAGAGAGAGAGAGAGAGAGATGTAGAGAGAGAGAGAAGAGAGAGATGTAGAGAGAGAGAGGAGAGAGATGTAGAGAGAGAGAGAGAGAATGTAGGGAGAGAGAGATGTGAGAGAGAGATGTAGAGAGAGTGAGAGGAGATGTTAGAGAGAGAGATGGATGTAGAGAAAGAATGAGAAGAGAGAGAGAGAGAGATGTAGAGAGAGAGAGAGAAGATGTAAGAGAAGAGAGAGATGTAGAGAGAGAGAGAGAGATGTAGGAAGAGAGAGAGAGAGAGAGAGAGAGATGTAGAGAGAGAGAGAGAGAGTGTAGAGAGAGAGAGAGGATGTTAGAGAGAGAGAGAGAGAGAGAGATGTAGAGAAGAGAGATGTAGGAGAAGAGAGAGAGTGAGAGAGAGAGAGAGAGATGTAGGAGAGAGAGAGAGAGAGATGTAGAGAGAGAGAGATGTAGGGAGAGAGAGTAGAGAGAGAGAGAGATGTAGAGAGAGAGAGATGTTAGAGAGAGAGAGAGATGTAGAGAGAGGAGAGAGTAGAGAGAGAGAGAGTGTTGTAGAGAGAGAGAGATGAAGAGAGTGAGAGAGAGAGAGAGAGATGTGAGAGAGGAGAAGAATGTGAGAGAGGAGAGAGAGATGTAAGAGAGGAGTGTAGAGAGTAGAGATGTAGGGAGAGAAGAGAGATGTAGAGAGAGAGAGAGATGAGAGAGAGAGTGTAGAGAGAGAGAGAGATTAGAAGATGAGAGAGATGTAAGAGAGGAAGATGTAGAGAGGAGAGAGAGGAGGAGAGAGAGAGAGATGTAGAGAGAGAGAGAGAGAGTGTAGAGAGAGAGAGAGAGAGAGAGATGTAGAGAGAGATAGAGAGAGAGAGAGAGAGATGTAGAGAGAGAGAGATGTAAGAGAGAGAGAGAATGTAGAGAGAGAGAAGAGATGTAGAGAGAGAGAGAGAGAGAGATGTAGAGAGAGGAGAGAGAGAGAGATGTAGAGAGGAGAGAGAGATGTAGAGAGAGAGAGAGAGAGAGAGTGAAGTTAGAGAGAGAGAGAGAGGAGAGAGAGAGAGAGATGTAGAGAAGAGAGAGAGTGAGAGAGAGAGGATGTGAGAGAGAGAAGAGAGAGATGTAGAGATGAGAGAGAGATGTAGAGAGAGAGATGTAGAGAGAGAGAGAGATGTAGAGAGAGAGATAGAGATATAGATAGATATTTTAGCAGGTGTTAAGTGAATGTTTAGGTATTTTCTAACCTTTTGAGAAAATAATAGATGGCATAGTAGGCAAGTTTGGAGTACCAGGGGGTAAATGATAATGGGGGTCTTTAACCCTTAACGGTCCAAACAGATCGACGTTCAAATTCGTAGTGCTACAAAAGTAGATCTAATTTTTTTACATATTTTCAAATATAACCAAAAAAAATGTGTAGATAAGTTTTTTTTTACACGTTTTCAAATGTAAAACAAAAAAGATCTACATTTTTTTACATACTTTCAGATGTTGAAAAAAACGTATATATACGTTTGGACCATTTAAGGGTTGATTGAACTGTGTAAAGAGAGAGGTTTGGTAATAGGCATTTAGTCCTGGCATTTTAGTTGCCTCTTATGACACACATAGCTTATGGAAGAAGAATTTTTTTCCACTTCCCCATGGAGATAAGAGGAAATAAAGAACAAGAGCTGTTAAGAAAATAGATGAAAACCCAGATGGGTGTGTAAATATATATGCATATACATGCATGTGTTGTGTGACCTAAGTGAAAGTAGAAGTAGCAAGATATACCTGGTATTTCGCATGTTTATGAAACAGAAAAAGACACCAGCAATTCTACCGTCATGTAAAAGAATTGCAGGTTTCTGTTTCACACTCACTGGGCAGGATGGTAGTTGGCTATCTGCCAACCTACTACCTAGTCTTCCTTCCTACTCTTGCCTGTTTGCTTTCAGCTCCCCTGATTCTCTCCCTATTTTTTGCAGTTTAATATGGGTTATATTTCTTCCAAGCCCTCTTGCACCCTCCCTTGGCCTCTCTGCATTCCACATTGACCTATGGTCTCTTTCATTTCTTGTTTCTTTTATTTGTTTGGTGTGAGTCACACCTTTGACTCTGTTGCTTGATTCTTCTCTTGTTCAGCTTGGCATCTAGCCCTTTTATTAGACTTCCCTCAAAAAATTTCTCATTCTATCATAGTTTCCATTTGCCTTCTGTTTTCCCATTTCCTGTTAATTACGTCCTCCATAATCCCTATGGGTTTAGGACTTCCCAGTGGTTATAATAATAATATTAATTACAAATAATCTTTTCATTTTGTCAAATTTGTATAGTACAATGGAACCTCAGTACTTGAACTTCATTCATTCCAGAAGGCTGTTTGAGTGGCAGTCTGTTTGAGTATCGAAGAAGTTCTTCCCAACCAATTTTCTTATTGGTTGGCTGTTATTGCTAATCTTTGTAGGCCCCATGGTGACTTATTTATACAAAAAATATAAAAAAAAACACCAAAAAGTGTGAAGAAACGAAAAATAGTTTCCAGCAAAGTTCTGGCAGGTTGTGTTTGTATGGTCGAGTGCTGAGCTTTGTTCGCATAGGGAGCTGTTCATGTACCGAGGTTCCACTGTATTTGGCTTTGCATTCACAAATACTGTCGATAAATTTTGTTTAACATAGTCTGGACGTTGAGTTTGCTCTTAGTTTTTTTTTTTAATGTACCAGCCATATCCCACTGAGGCAGGGTGACCTAAAAAGTAAAATGAAAGATTTCCTTTTTAAATTTAGTAATTTATAGAGGAGGAGTTACTAGCCTCTTGTCCTGGCATTTTAGTCACCTCTTACAATACGCTTGGCTTACAGAGGAAGAATTCTTTTTTCATGTTCCTGGAGTTTTCCATTACTATAGGCAACTAATATGTAGTTCTTTTTATTTTATCTCCTTAGGGAATGAACTTCAAGAGCCAGGAGAAGCACTTCGAGAGGGACACATCCGAGACAGTAACAAGACTACCCTTAAGGCTCTCTTACGTCAGTTTGACTATCCAGTCGTTGATGCAGGTATTGCAAAAGATAATCCCACATCTCTGCTGACATCAATCAGATCTGCCCTTAACCAGGCTGATATCTTGGTCACCACTGGTGGAGTGTCAATGGGCGAACGCGACATGCTGCGGCCTGTGCTCACTTCAGATTTTAATGCTGAGATTCATTTTGCTCAGGTAAATGTCTACATGTCACATATGTTATTATACTGTCTATTTCTATATTCCTCAATAAGTGGACAATTATTGCTGACTCACAATCTAGATATGTTATCTTGTTCATGTTTTTCTCTGAGAAACTAAGCACTCAAACCATGCAGGAGTAACAGTCAGATGATTCTTCAATTCATGCCGTACCAATGGGACTGCCAGTGGAATTGATGTATGTTTGCTATTCAACCACTGTGTCAGTGCAGAGGTACAAACAGTACAGTACATGAATGGAGCCCATGTATCTTGCAACTGAAGTAGCATTTTTTTCTTTGATGACGAGGTGTATACTTGCCACGTACATAGTACAAGCTATCTGCTCTGTTGTGGCATCCTTATCTGTTCATGTTAATCTGAAATTGAGGTTTCGTATAATAGAGTAAAAGAAATTAAATGTAAATATGGATGTGTATGTGGCAGAGGAATGCAACTTAGGTGAAGTAAATATCTATGTACACATGAATAGTTAGCTTTCATAAGTATGTCTAAACACTGGGATGGGCGGAGCACAACTGATGCTCTCTGACTCTTCCTGACAAGCAGACATGATGCCTAGCATTCATGTTTATACTTGTAAGCAGACAGCTGCAGGGCTTTCTTCAAAGAAGTATTCAAGTTTATACCTGTAACATAGAATCACATGTGTTGCCAGTGTTTTACATAATGGGTTAATTCTGACTTCAGATGCAGTTTCAGCATGTGAAAAAAAACCTTGAAAACTTTCATTTATAGAAATAGCAAATTTATTGTTTAGTGTATTGGATATACAGCCTCTCCTCAGTGACGTACTCATTTATTGACGACTCGGACTTACATCGGGCTCCCTGACCAGTATGCATACCTAAATAATGTATGTTAGAGCTGATTTCCTCTATTCTTTTTATTACAATATACAGTACACCACTGGAAATATAAACATATATGCAGTATAATTTTATACCATTTATTTCCACAGTACATTACTGTATAAACATTTAAAAATATACTAAAAATGTTATAAATGATGCAAAGGTGACATTAAAGCAATATCAAAGATGGTTGACACAAACCCACTGCCATTATAGTATGCTTCTCGTTTAGCAATAAATTCATTTACCGACGTGGTCTTAGGAAGAACTCCGTCGTTAAGTGAGGAGAGGGTGTACATTATTATATGAGGTATCTTTTATCATCTTGTACAGGTATTCATGAAGCCAGGCAAGCCAACTACATTTGCTACCTGTCAGTTTAATGGTCACAAGAAACTGATTCTTGGACTTCCTGGTAATCCTGTGTCTGCAGTAGTGACGGCAACGCTCTATATCTTGCCTCTGTGTCGCAAGATGAGTGGCAGAAGCACTTATGAAAACACATGCATCAGAGCCAAGGTATGTAGTGGGAAATAGCACAGGATTAGATGCATGAGGATTTTGAATGGAGAACTAGCCCACTACCTGTTATAAGTGTCAGATCAACCAGGCTGTGATAGCCATGAAAGCCTGTGGGCTGCTAGTAACAAAAGCCAGGTTGAACAGGCACTCATCAAGGATGTCTGAACTCGTTTCAAACTGAAAAGGTAGAGCAACTCTCAACACTGGTCACGTGTATATATATCTTCTTTCAACAGACTGGCCATATCCCACCTAAGCAGGGTGGCTCAAAAGGAAAAATGAAAGTTTCTCCTTTTATATTTAGTAATACATGCAGGAGAAGGGGTTACTAGCCCCCTGCTCCCGGCATTTTAGTCGCCTCATATGACATGTATGGCTTATGAAGGAAGAATTCTTTTCCACTTCCCCATGGAGAAGATGTATATTTATATTAAAAAATGACTAGTTTGAGAATGATAATATATGAAAGATGTACTTGTAAAGGAGGAGGTGTCTGGTGTCCTCAAGCGGGGTTGTCTTGATGCTACTAAAGAGTTCTAGTTCTGAGGAATTTGTTATCCTCTCCTTCCTTAGATCAAACTTGATTGCCTACCATTCCCCATGTACTGCATGACCAACTTCCTCATAAATATAATAATAATAATGTGCATCATTTCTTGAATAATATATTATCCAAGTTAATTTCATTATTTGTAAAGTAAAAGAATACAAGTGCAACTAATGTAACTGTGACATTTTATTGTGGAAACATTTCGCTCTCCAGGAGCTTTGCCAAGCCATTACGGCTTGACAAAGCTCCTGGAGAGCGAAACGTTGCCACAATAAAATGTCACATTAGTTGCACTTGCATACTTTTACTTACATATTTATACAATTTCATTATTTTGTGTAAATGATTTCAAACTTTGATGCTGAAGGTCTGTTATTTACATTAGTACCCATTGACTGTAAATTGTAGTATTTCATAAGTGTTGGTTAACCTAAACAGTCATTGGAAACCTTAGTGTATGTACTTATAATACAGTATTTTATAGAAGTCTCTGAGCTCTGTTAAATCAGAATAAATGTTAAAAAATATCAAAAACAGCACTCAAGCATATATTAGATATGTTGGGTACTGTACACACTATTAACAGATATATTGCAATAAATATTGAAATTAAAGAGAATTTAAAGTACAATTTATCCAATGGATTTTATCTGGTATATGAGAATTTGTTATATCAAGGTCCAGTATATCAGAGGTTTATTATACAGGTCCTTGGATTTTTACCATGATGACTCCTCTTCATTTTCAGTTGTCAACATCAATAAAACTCGACCCAAGACCTGAGTATCACCGAGCCTTACTGTGTTGGAGCCCAGGTATTGACCTTCCTGTTGCTCATTCCACTGGCAATCAGTTGTCATCTCGGCTGCTGTCTATGGCCTCGGCTCAAGCTCTTCTTAAACTTCCTCCGGCAACTTCTGAAACACAGAGCTTGCCTGATGGCACAGTTGTTGAGGCACTACTCTTAAACATGTGACGACCACCATCACACTCAGTAATTAACTTGTGACTTTGAAAATAAAAATTATAATGAATTTGCATAATGGTTAAGAGGTGCACTGTAATTGTAAAAAAAAAATTATGACTACATTAATATACAGGACTTATAAGCTAATAATTTATTTAATTCAACTTGTATGTTTGTTAAGAGGGGAACTCATAATTATTTATTATTCAAAGGTTTATTATGTAAATGTTCATAAGGTATGGGCATTGTATTCAAAGCTATCAATATCATCATATAATTATCTGTTCTGCATATGTTTTGGTAAATAATAGCTCAAGAGCTTTTTTTTTTTTCCTTTTCCAGGGATTTTTTGAACATTTCCCCAAACATTGCATCCACCTTGAACTTTAATTTTGAAAAATGCACTTTAAGTAGCTCTATAAATGGCTCTATTCCTTTTAGACATTTCTGCTCAAGTGCAGTACTGAGTGATTATTTCAGGTTGTATTTATTTATTTTTTTTTTTTTTTCAGTACTACACTACTATACATTACTTGCCATTGTATCCTCATATCAACCTGAAACTTTAAAGAAAACATAGCATTATTTTTTGAGTTACACTATAGCATTTAACAATTTATTAGTTGTATCTGTCAAGGGACTACTTTATTTGGTTCAGGTTTTATTGTATCTGTCAAGAGGCACAAATCATTAGCATCAAGGAACCTCCATTAAGGGGAAATGTACAAGAGTTATTGTAAGGGTTAGTGATGAAACAAAGGCTTGCAGAGGAAGTAGGATTTAGGAAGGGTAGGGTATGTGTAGACCATGTTTATTTTGAATCATATATAAGTGGACAGTCAGCTCTGTATGACCTTTGTTGGTTGTGCTTAATCAAACACCTCTTTACCCTTATCTGATAAGTGAGCACTATTTAGATAAGGGTAAAGAGCTGTTTGATTTATTGATCAAGAAAAGGCACATGAAGGTGGACAGGGGAACCTTGGAATAAGTAATAATACTAATAATGTAATCAAGGGAAGTGCTAAATCTAAAAAGGGTCAGTGCTGTGAAATAGGTGATAGGTTACTAAAAGTAGTAGAGAACTTTTATGCATATAGTGAGGCTCAGGTTAGGGTATGTAGAGGGGAGGTGGACTATTTCTCTGTAAAAGTAGAACTGTAGACAGGTATGCATGATGTGACAAATGGTTTAAAAAAAATGACAAGTTGAAGATCGAGACACTCATGCAACATATGGGAATCTTTATTGAGGAAACGTTTCACCACACAGTGGCTCCATCAGTCCAATACAAAGCAGAAAGGTGTAAGGAGAGGAGTTTGAGGTAATCAGTCCCTCAGCCTAGAGTCGATGTGTTCAGTCCATCAATCTTGTAGAATGTACAGTGTAGGGCCGTAGACATGGCTTATATACTGTAGTCAGGTGAGGCCTCCTGCTTCACCTCGCTTGACTACAGTACATAAGCCATGTCTACGGCCCTATGCTGTATATTCTACAAGATTGGTGGACTGAACACATCGACTCCAGGCTGAGGGACTGATTACCTCAAACTCCTCCTCTCCTTACACCTTTCTGCTTTGTATTGGATTGATGAAGCCACTATGTCCTCTAGCCACATAGTGCTTTCTCAGTCTTTTCAAGCTTTTCATCATGAACCAGACTGCGCAGTATTACCCTTGTAGGTTTAGCGCTTCTTTTTTATTATAATAATATCACAAACCAGAGAGACCATTTTTGCCATTGTAGGGGTAACACTAACACTTCCACAAATTTCAGCTTTCCTGCTGTGTGCAAATGCTTGATTTGTTCTTACCAACCTAATGGCCCTTTTTAGCAAGCAACATGTCATTTTTCATAAGATCCAAGATTTTCATTTTCTTGTCGAGAGGTCCCCTCAAGGGAGGTTTCCTGATGCTGGTGAGGGGCTCTTTGATCTAGGGAATTGGATCTGTGCTCCAGTTCCCTGAACTGAGCCTGAATACCTTCCATCCCCCCCCCCCCCCACAAGTGCTGTATAATCCCTACAGGGTTAATGCTCCCCTATTATAATGATAATTGTTGAGAGGTAGCACTTTACACTCCCTCTTAGCCATTTTTTTTCACAGAAAGGGTACACAAATAGTGAACGAACGAGACACAAGGCGAACAATACTCAAACAAGCATTGTTCGCTTACATGTCACTTCATTTACATGGATTCAGCGTAGCACACAGCAAATTTAAATTTTGCTTTTTGGAACTTTCTGGGATTTTTTTTTTTTTTCAAATATTTTCCATCTGCAGTTGGTTGAATCCACGGATGCAGAACCTGCAGAAATGGAGGGCTGACTGTGCTGTGCTTTGGTATTGTTGTCCTTCCATATTTCAACAGGATAAATTTATACAGTATTTAGAAATAAAAAATATTTAAGAATTTATACATTTTATTATAAAACCCTTTTATAGATGTGTAGATCATAAAAAATACTGGATTTGTGACGTGTGGAAGATCTTTATCTTCAAGATCTTATACTAGGCACAAGTAACCAGTACCAAGAAAACTGTCTTGTAATAAACCCAATAGCATAAAGTGGTCAAATAGCTAGCTTTGTGGACATTATCAACAGTAAATAATAGGTTTTAAATATACCTACTATCAATATTTAATTTCACCCAAATGTTAACAGTAGAAACTGAAGCATCTGCTGAATAAATTATAAAAAATACTTCAACTTTTGAATCCTGCTTTACCACTTGCAATTTACATGGGTTCAAATTATTTGGCAAGATTCCACTTACATGACTATCAGCCTTCAGAGCACAGGCTAAGACTTAAGACTAGAACTGCATACAAACAGCATTTAGTATAGAAAAAAATTAAACATGTACAGTATTATTTACATTTCGTGTTGCATATTAAAAAAATTTGTGCATAAACAACAATTTATAAATGACATGACATAGATACATCCACAATTGTTGTGAAAAATATCTAATATGTTTGGTAAAGAAAACTGAAATGATTACTTTAAACCATGGTTACTGTACTTACTGAAATTAGTAAATACTGCACTGTATAAATAATTTTTGAAATTTTACTATTTTCATTAAGCAAGTTTACATTCATAAAAGAGAACTTATGGTTTAAATTGTCTGCTTTTATTGCAGGAAAAAGCTTATTGGATAAATATTTCTTATTCCTGCATTTAATGTATACCATATTTTAAACAAAAATGAAGTCTGTTTTAATTTTTAAAACTAGTCACAATCAGACAAGACACACAATTAAATGTACCATTTGGACATAAAACCTTGTTCATTTAATTATATAAAAAATAAAAGTTTTATGGAAAGGATTTTATGAATAAATAACAACCCTCAGGATTTTTCCATAATAAAAATCTAGAGTACAAATTTGCATGGCAAATACAGTATAGTCTCCACCCACCCTAAAATTATGGGGTGCAGAAAGTGTAGCACATATGGGTTTTGTGGCAACAGACAATGAAACCTCACTGTAATGTCAAGATGTGGATCAATGTCTGGCTATGTATTATCTCATGGCAATCAAAGGACATCACACTTATTGTGGTTTATGAATGATTTAGTTAAGTGATAAGGGAGGTGAAAATATCAAGAAAAAAGTCTCCCCCATTACACGAGTGGAGCCTAACTGAAAAATTAAGTTCACTGACATCACATTTCTTATCTTGACACAAAGGTCCATTAATGAGGCATTATCATGAAGCATAGTTGTAAACTTTATTTATAGATTGAAATGTAAGTTTCATCCCAGATACCAATTTATTCACCTGAATAGGAATTACAATTCCAGCCCCTGTCCTCCCTTCCCTTGCAAATACTGTATTTACTACCCCCCTCAGGGAAGGTTCCTTGATGTTGGTGAGGGGCTCTTGATTTAGGGAATTGGATCTGTGCTCCAGTTCTCCGAATTAAGCCTGAATGCCTTCCACATCCCCCCCCCAGGCGCCGTATAATCCTACGGGTTTAGCGCTTCCCCTTGATTATAATAATAATAATGTATTTACTACCTCCTTGATTTGCACAAGTCCATTTTACACAAATATATATCATAAATGTATGTATGTACGTATATGTAGTCTGCATGGAAAGTAATGACACTGACTACAGGACAAACTTTTGATCAATAAAACATGGCAACAGATCATTGCAAGTCTGGACTTTTGTATACCACTTGCAGGTGGGGCCATGCAGATATAAGAGTGGGCTCATCTGCCTTTGAGTTGAACTCTGCACTATGTTCAATGAAGTTCAGGTGATAGCATATGTGACTGCTAATTATTTTGGTAGATAACAAAATACAGAACTGTCTTTGTCTAACATTATTATACATTATCATCTGAGTTTCACTGAACACAGTACAGAGTTCAACCCAAAGGTGAATGAGACCACTCTTGAAACTGCATATCCCCAAGATTTCTAGCAAGCTCAGACTTCACTCATCTGTTTCAATCATTAATGGTTTATCCTGCAGCGAGCATCATAACTTTCCACACAAACTGTATATATACACACACTGTAGTTGCATATTTTAAAACAATTTTAACTTTGATCTTTAAATAATTTTATTTGTATTCAATATTCTTAACTTTTATATTAAACAATTTTTTTTTTACTTCCAATAAGCCATTTCCCACAAGCACTGGAAGGTTCATTTACAAAATTCTTTGTAAATGAAATCTGTTACATCTTTGTATCATTAAAAAATATATATGAATGCACATAAAGAACTACCCGAGTATTCTTTGCTGTGTTGCACAACAGAATTACCAGTAGTGATTAGGTTTACTATTCTTACCTTAGAGAAAGCCACCACCTGATAATGATAGAATGAAATCTTAAATTATACACAGTGGTCACTTTATTAGGTACACCTGCTCATTAATGTAAATATCTAATCAGCTGATCACATGGTAGCATCTCGATGCCTAAAAGCATGCAGACATGATCAAGAGATTCAGTTGTTGTTCAGACTGAACGTAAGAATGGAGAAGATACGTGATCTAAGTGACTTTGACCATGGAATGATTGTTTTTACTAGACGGTGTGGTTTGAGTACTACAGATACTGCTGATCTCCTGGGATTTTCACATACAACAGTCTCTAGACTGAAAAACAAAACATCCAGTGAGTGGTAGTTTTGTGGATGAAAATGCCAAATTAATGAGTGAGGTCAGAGGAGAATGGCCAGACTGGATCAAGCTGACTGGAAGGTGACAGTAACTCAAATAAACACGTGTTACAACAGTGGTATGTAGAAGAGTTTCTCTGAATGCACATGTCAGACCTTGAAGTGGATGGACTATGGCAGCAGAAGACCACACCAGATTCCATTTCTGTCAGTTAAGAACTGGAAACTGAGGCTACAGTGGGCACAGGGTCACCAAAACTGGACAGATGAAGATTGGAAAAATGTCACCTGGTCTGACAAATCACAATTTCTACTGTAGAATGCAGATGGTAGGATCAGAATTCAACGTAAACCTTTGGGATGTGGTGGAATGGGAGATTTGCAGTATGATCATGCAGCCAACAAATCTGCAGCAACTGCATGATGCTATCATGTTAATATGGACCAAAAACGTTTCCAACACCTTGTTGAATCCGTGCCACAAAGAATTCAAGCTTTTCTGGAGGCAAAGGGGACCCTACCCAGAACTAGTAGGATGTGCCTAATAAAGTGGCCATTGAGTGCATTTTACAATAATGCATTTGGAGTAGTTTTCATTCCAATACCTATTTTGTAGACAATTATACATGTATAATTCCAAAAGTGTTCAAAGATAATTTTAAAATATATACGTACATTGGAACCTCGGTATACAAACAGCTCCCTACTCGAACAAAGCTCAGCACCTGACCAAACAAATACGACCTGCCAGAACTTCGCTGTAAACTATTTCATGTTTCTTCGTATTTTTTGGTGTTCTTTTGTATTATTTGTATGAATAAGTCACCATGGAGCCTACGAAGATTAGTGATAACAGTCAACCAAACAGAAAATTGGTTGGGAAGAACTTGCTCGATACTCAAATGGAGTGGCACTTGAACAGTCTTCTGGAATGAATTAAGGTCGCATGCCTAGGTTCCACCATATATAAAAGAGTTTATCATACAAAAACTTAATTTAACAACAATAAATTTTATATGGTAATACAATTTTGTAATAAAATATATATCAAAGCTCCATTAAAAAGTAATTGTGGATAAACATTTCATTATCATTTATGAAACTTGGTAGAAACTTACAGTGATAAGACAGATATGTATGAAGACAAAAGATACAATAAAACAATCACTTCAATAATTTATCACAGAAATATATATTTCACAGAAGCCTGTATTGATAATCTAATATTTATAATTTGCAAGTGTAAATTATCTAAATATCATATTCAACGTATAAAAATTCATTATTTAACTTTTCTGTTCTTGTGTGCAATATTATCTGGTAAATTTCCACATTCATATCCTAAATTTCAGAGATGCTGTAGGACACATCTGCAATGGAAGGATGCAGGTCTCAGTACTGTGCTTTTTTTTTTTTTTTTTTTTGAAGTCATTAATGATGCTAATTATTATTATAATCAAAAAGAAGCGCTAAGCCAGAAGGGCTATACAGCGCTGCAGGGTAGGAAAGGAAGCGAGGGTATTGGGCGGCAGAAGGGAGGAGGGATGATCAGTAGGTTACAGAAAACAGCGGGGCAGGGGATAGTACGGGGGTAGAGGGTAGCAAGAGATTGAGGTAGAAAGGGCTGAAGGTATCAGAATTTGTGAAGTAAGTCAGTTGTTGTCAAAAAGTCAATGAGAGAGTCCGGATGAAAGGTGGGTCCATCAGCAAGAAGGGAAGGTAAAGAGAGAGCAGCGGAGTGAAGACGACGACGGAGGTAAATTCTGCGTGCTCGTTGATAAAGTGGGCAGTCCAACAGAATGTGGCTGACTGATAATGGAGCCTGGCAATTCTCACAGAGAGGAGCAGGGCACCTCTCCATGAGATATCCATGAGTAAGACAAGTATGGCCAATGCGAAGACGGGAGAGAGTAGTCTCCCAACCTCGACACTGGTGATAAGAAGACGGCCATAATGATGCTAAGTATTACATTGTATTCCGGTTAGCTAATTAGCAGATAAGTCACAATAAGTAATTTATTCCAGATACAATTTTTTAAAAAGGCTAAAAGAATATTTCTATAATACTGAATTCCTTTTCAGTAACACTTGTAAAAGCTACTTTTTTTTGGAAAAGAAGCTATGTTGGTGTCTCAAAGAACTAACAAATTTCAATATCTGTTATGATATGTCTTTTCATTTTATCAAGCTAACATTATGACACAATATTTCCCTGTTACTTGACAGAGATGAGGTTTAAAGAAAAGTGATGCTAAGCAAAATAATTTTCCCACAGACTCCTTTCTTACATTCACAGATCTATTCTAGGAAAAATATTTCCAGTATTCTTTTCTTATCAAATCCCAATTTTAATGGAGGTACAGTGGAACCTTGGTTTTCGTATGCCCCAGTTTTCGTAGGATTCAGTTTTCGACAACTTTTTTTGATGAAATTTTGTCCGTTTTCATACATCCACTTGGTTTTCGTAGAGTTGAAAATGGTCCCATGCGTTCACGACTCAGTCTGCCTTTGTTTCTCGCTGAGCGAGCATCACCTCGTGCATTCATCCGAAGCATTTCGTAATAATCCATTGTTTTTTGTGCTTGTTTATTGAGTGAGACTGCTAAATAAGCCACCATGGGGCCAAAGAAACTTCCGAGTGCCAGCCCTCTGACAAGGAAGGCGAGAAACACGATAGAATTCAAGAAAGAACTCATAGCAAAGTACGAAAGTGGCATACGCATGGCCGATCTTGCCAGGATGTACAGGAAGTCCTCATCAACGATCAGTTCCATCCTGGTGAAGAAAAAAGAAATCAAGGAAGTTGATGTTGCAAACAATCGAAGATGTTGAAAAGTTGTTGTTGGTGTGGATCAACAAAGAACAGTTAGTGGGAGATAGTGTTTAAGAGGCAATAATTTGTGAAAAGGCAAGGTAGTTGCATGCAGATCTTGCAAAGAAAATGCCTGGAACGAATGCTGCTGTTAGTGAATTTAAGGCCAGCAGAGGCTGGTTCAACAAATTCAAGAAGCGAACTGGCATACACAGTGTGGTAAGGCATGGCAAGGCTGCAGGTCTGGACAAACATGGGGCCGAAGAATTTGTTGATGAATTCAAGGAGTATGTAGAGGCTGAAGAATTCCTCCCCCCTACAAGTCTTCAATTGTGACAAAACAGGCCTCTTTTGGAAGAAAATGCCAAAGAGGATCTACATCACACAGGAGGAAAAGGCACTGCCAGGACACAAGCCTATGAAGGATAGGCTAACTCTTTTGTTCCATGGTAATGCTAATGGGGATTTCAAAGTGAAGCCTTTACTGGTGTATCACTGAAAATCCCCAAATGTTCAAGAAAAACAATGTCATCAAGAGTAAATTGTGTGTGATGTGGAAGGCTAACAATAAGGCATGGGTCACGTAACAAATTTTCATTGAGTGGGTCAATGAAGTGTTTGACCCGAGTGTGAAGAAATACCTCCTGGAAAATCAATTGCCACTCAAGTGCCTCCTGGTATTGAACAATGCTCCCGCTCATCCTCCAGACTTGAAAAATCAATTGTTGGAGGAGTTTAGTTCCATCACAGTGAAGTTCTTGCCCTCTAATACCACTCCTCTCATCCAGCCCATGGATCAGCAGGTCATTTCAAACTTCAAAAAACTCTACACCAAAGCAATGTTTCAAAGGTGCTTTGAATTGACCTCAGACATTGAACTGACCCTAAGAGAGTTCTGGAGGAATCACTTCAATATCCTCAATTGCATAAGCCTTATAGATAAGGCTTGGCAGGGAGTGACTTCCAGGACGATGAACTCTGCTTGGAGAAATTTGCAGACAGAATGTGTCCTCAAGAAGGATTTTGAAGGGTTTGAGGCTGACCCTGATGACCCTATGCCTACTGTGGAATCTATTGTGTCTTTGGGAAAGTCCATGGGTTGGATGTGAGTGGCCAGGATGTGGAAGAGTTGGTGGATGACCACAGGGAAGAGCTAACCACTGAAGAGCTGCAAGACCTTCAACTGGAATAGCAACAGACTGCAGCTGAAGAAATTGTTTCAGAGGAAGAGGAAGAGAGAGGGGAGAATGTGCCTTCTTCAGTGATTAAGGACATGTGTGCAAAGTGGAGTGAGTTGCAAAGTTTTGTAGAGAAATATCACCCTAACAAAGCTGTTGCAAGCTGTGTTTGCAACATGCTCAATGACAATGCCTTGTCTCATTTTAGGCAAATCTTAAAGAGATGCCAGAAACACCTCTCTGGACAGATTTTTTGTGCAACAGGGGTCCAGTGACTCTCAAGCTGGTCCTAGTGCCAGTAAAAGACAAAGAAGGGAAGTAACCTCAGATATGGCCTTGGTACCTGAAGTCCTTACGGAAGAGGATTTTCCTTCCAAACAATAACCTCTCCTCCTCCCTCTCCCCTCCTCACCATCTTCCATATGCCAACAAAAGTCTTCAATAAAGGCAAAAGAGATGTTAAATGTTCATTTATCCATTCATTAGTCTTCTTCTTTCAACAAACCGGCCATATCCCACTGAGGCAGGGTGGCCCAAAAAGAAAAACAAAAGTTTCTCTTTTCAAATTTAGTAATTTATACAGGAGAAGGGGTTATTAGCCCCTTGCTCCCGGCATTTTAGTCGCCTCTTACAACAGGCATGGCTTACGGAGGAAGAATTCTGTTCCACTTCCCCATGGAGATAAGAGGAAATAAACAAAAACAAGAACTAGAAAGAAAATAACAGAAAACCCAGAGGGGTGTGTATATATATACTTGTACACATATGTTGAGGTGGTTTGGTCATTTAGAGAGAATGGATCAAAGTAGAATGACATGGAAAGCATATAAATCTATAGGGGAAGGAAGGCGGGGTAGGGGTCGTCTTCGAAAGGGTTGGAGAGAGGGGGTAAAGGAGGTTTTGTGGGCAAGGGGCTTGGACTTTCAGCAAGCGTGCGTGAGCGTGTTAGATAGGAGTGAATGGAGACGAATGGTACTTGGGACCTGACGATCTGTTGGAGTGTGAGCAGGGTAATATTTAGTGAAGGGATTCAGGGAAACCGGTTATTTTCATATAGTCGGACTTGAGTCCTGGAAATGGGAAGTACAATGCCTGCACTTTAAAGGAGGGGTTTGGGATATTGGCAGTTTGGAGGGATATGTTGTGTATCTTTACATGTGTATGCTTCTAGACTGTTGTATTCTGAGCACCTCTGCAAAAACAGTGATAATGTGCGAGTGTGGTGAAAGTGTTGAATGATGATGAAAGTATTTTCTTTTTGGGGATTTTCTTTCTTTTTTTTGGGTCACCCTGCCTCGGTGGGAGACGGCCGACTTGTTGAAAAAAAAAAAAAAAAAAAACACATGTGTAGTGTGACCTAAGTGTAAGTAGAAGTAGCAAGACATACCTGAAATCTTGCATGTTTATGAGACAGAAAAAAGGACACCAGCAATCCTACCATCATGTAAAACAATTACAGGCTTTCGTTTTACACTCACTTGGCAGGACGGTGGTACCTCCCTGGGCGGTTGCCGTCTACCAACCTACTACCTAGAATTTCATTAGTCATTTATATTTATTTCTCATTGTTTTCTGTATGTAAAACTATATTCTCTATAAAATGTAATTTTTGTTAATATTTTTGGGTGTCTGGAATGGATTAATTGGATTCACATTATTTCTTATGGAAAATATTGCTTCAGTTTTCGTACGATTTGGTTTTCATCAGACTTTTTAGAACAGATTAATCACGAAAACTGAGGTTCCACTGTAGTAATGTATTAATAGACACCAACAGCTTCTGAACATGAACAAAAATGGTAGAATAAATATAGCACTGCCATCCCTCAAAGCACAGTAAAGATGACAACTTTAGGAAATGTATGGTGGATGTTAGATGTTAATGGAGAAAAAGATTTATCAATAGGTTAAATGGAACAGAGTACACAACCACTTGATTTCAAATTAATTTATGGATTTTCTTTAACTCACAAGAGTTAAAATAAATTGCAGAGAGCATTTTGAAGGGAGGACTGAATACATAACTGAAGTCTCATTGGCTCATCAAACAATAACACTCCTTTGTGAGTGTCATGAACCTATCTTAGATTTTATAAAATTTAACATAATTTGATGAAGTAAACAACAAGTCTGGGCAATAATTATATTGTACCAGTATTAGAAATCTAATTTTGTCTTTAACTGTGAAAATTTTTCAATATTTCCAGACCTTTAGTCATTTACTAATTTACTAAATTCCAACACTGTGCAGTGAGACCTACATGTTTAGCAAACATTCAGCAAGCAGATTTTATACCCCGAGATGTCACACTGCATACAATAATAATTGCTAATGCACATTATTTTCTTGTTGACAAATACACAAACTGTTTATTTTAATCCAATACAGTATTATTATTTGTCTCCGTAAAAAGAAAATATGTATACAGTACTGCATGCTTATATACAAAATGTAAGACCACTACTGTACTGTACAGTGGACCCCCGCATAACGATCACCTCCGAATGCGACCAATTATGTAAGTGTATTTATGTAAGTGCGTTTGTACGTGTATGTTTGGGGGTCTGAAATGGACTAATCTACTTCACAATATTCCTTATGGGAACAAATTCGGTCAGTACTGGCACCTAAACATACTTCTGGAGAGAAAAAATATCGTTAACCGGGGGTCCACTGTATTTGGTTAAGACACTAAGAGCCGCTGAGTGACCCTAGGTTGAAGTCTATTAAGCATCCATGCTTACTTGGTATAACAAATAAAAATCTTTAGAATACAGGAACTACCAGCATATGACATACAATTTTTTAACTTTCACTTAGATATTTGAAATTCCAACAAATAACAATTAGCTCGTAATACTTTATCGTTTCTCTATACATGTAATTCATCACTAAGAGGTCAAGAATTAAACGGTGAATATGACTCAAATTAAAAATCTATAACATGTATACACAGTATTTGCAAATCTTAGCTTGTCAAAAATTTAATGGATAGCTTCTACATTTAGTTTAATTTCAATAATGTCATTTTATATACAATATCATTATAATTATAAATACTAATTAAATAGTCTCTACTATAAACTCCCAGTTCATATAAGATTCCTTACATTTGAGGCTCACACCTCTTCCCAACACTGGTATTCACTTCCTTTACAACATCATCAATAAATATATTCAATAGCCATACTTGGTGACACCATAAGAATATTTCAGATGTCAATGCCCCCAAGGCCTGGTCCAGACAGAACCTCCTGGTAGATGGCTTGATCAACTAGGCTGTTGGTGCTAGCCACATACAGTCCAACATGTGTACACACAGACAGGTTTATCAGCAACTGACTTGAGGAACTTGAAAGTTCTCTCTCAAAGATAACTAGAAGCTTGTTAGTAATCCCCTCATGCATGAAGAAAGGATGTGGAAAATTCTTGGTCCTTTTATGCTTATTGAATTATCTCTAAGTGTACTCATAGCTAAGCAGATGATATCCAAAGCTCACACATTGAGGGACCAGGAATCAATCCTGGCATGGGTGAACTGCTGGGAATGTTTCCTTACAACTGCTGCCCCTGTCCTTCCTAGCACAAAGTAGGCACCTTGGTGTAAGTCAACTGCTGTGGGTCACACCTGGGGAAGGAAATTAAAGGATCCCAATGGAAATAAAGCTGGAAAACCCCAATGATGCCATGGACTTCATGGGGTTATCCTGGGTAGTTAACCCTCCACATTAAAAATCTGAAGAAAATCTTATCTTTTCCCTGCTTTTCACTGGAGTTATTTTACACTGTCAGCTGAGCCTCTCATTTTCAAAGGAGGTGACTTATGTGCACACAGTTGAGACCAATCTGGAGGTTCTCTGTACAGTACATTCTCCAGAGCTGTAATTTAACCTGACTTAAATGGGGCCATTAAGAGTACAACAGTATTAGAGCCTAGAGAGCAAATGACTTGAAGACTATCATCTATGATTTGGCAGTCTATCATTTTTGTTGCAGTTGTGATAATGTGACACCATTACAATAACACTGTGGTTGATGTGGTGATACCACCACAGAAACACTGTGGTTGATGTGGTGACACCACCACAACAAAGATGTGGTTGTTGTGGTGACATCACACATCTCTTAGACCTACTGTTACTAGAAAAACAGTCCCCTTCTTTCCTACATACTCTAAAACCACACTATCCTCATAAAAAACTCTTTACATCTTATAATAACTTCACACCTATTCTGTACAATTGCAACATCTGCCACAATGCTCTCATATCTGCTTTATCATATGCCATTACTAAAGCTATATATGAAACAAAAACACTGTTAACCCTAATCTAGGTACAATATTGCTCACTTATATGCTTTATGTAAATAATTGGTCCACACATCCCCAACCTTTTGTAAATTCTTGTTCCTTTGCAATCCTACTTTTGATATTACCCCCCCCCCCCCATCCCTAACTCTTTCAATGAAAATTCTACCATACACTTTATCCAGTATGTTCAACATTTATTTTTGTATCATCCCCATTGTCTCTCCTGACCCCATTTCTCTTATTCAAAGGAACTACATATGCTCTCTGCCAGTCTTTTGGTACCTTATTGTCATTCATACATAAAACAAATACACCAATCAAGTCAAAACTACTATATTCCAACCTGCTTTCAACATTTAAGTTTTAATCCCATCTCTTACTGTTAATTAGCCCCTTTTCATCCTACTATAGGTCCCCCACTTTAATGCATTCCTGAAAATCATTTGTTCAAGCTTTTGGAATTCAAAACCTACTTTCCCATAAACACTATCTTATAGCTGAAAATGCATTCTCCAACCATAATAATCCACATCTAATTTATTTTCAACAATAAAATATAAACATTGTACATACTCTGATGATTCCTTCTCTTTTTCTATTTCCTCCCTTATTCTCTTCCTATTACCTTATCCCTTTCACTTCCTCCCAACTCTCTCTCACTCTTGACACAACACTACACAAGAAGCAGCAAGAGGACTGCCTTTCCCTCTCATACTCTCATATCTCATGTGACAACACTACACAGGTAGCAGCACAGGGTTGCCTCCATCCCTACCACTGAATCTGACACAACACTCTTTACATATGCTCTTCACCTCACTATTATGGTGAGGGTATTAAGTGCTTGGGCATATGGTGTGGGTAAAGGTGAAGGATATTGCATGCTCAGGTTAGGGAAAGAGGGCGGTCACGTAAACTGAGTTGAAGAATGTCAATCACTGATCACATACTGGATACACTCAGCTGCTGCCCAACAAATAAACACAATTATTATATCTACAATTCTTGACTAATCTTTACCAAAAAACTTTGCACCCAACACATATGCATCACATGAACATACACAAAATATTAATGAATTTACCAAAAAATAACAGAAAAAATAATATTTATATTATAATTCAGCTGTAATAAAATCATAAGCATTCAATCTACAGAGTTTTACCATTCTCCACCAAACAAACATGAGCCCTTCATACATGCATAAAAATGAACATGTACAAAACAACCTTAAACTATTATCATGTACATATGTGGTCACTCTGTAAACTGTTTATATTGTGGATCTGTGTTCAAAGAAGACTGGTACACCAGCCTAGTAATTGGTGCTTTTCTTCAGGCCAACAAGACAAGACCATGTTGAACAGTCACAGCTAATAATACATCTAACATATTAAAAAAAATATCTTGGGTAAATGAGGTACAGACATTTTATGCATATAACATGCATGAACAGTACTTAGGTGGCATAAGCGTAATAATGTTGAACTTCTCACAAGCATTCATGAAGCCATAATGGTTGGATAAAAAAATCACTTAAAAACTCATAGTGATGATTAAGTAAACATTATAAATGCAATTGGTGGACAAATCTGATTTGCAAACTGTTTCTATGGAATTCGCCAAGAGATCTGTCAGATAGTACTGTAAATCACTGCTCAATGCATTCAATGTTTCAGCTGCATAAAGGTAGGACACCTTACATATGGCTAAAATCAGACAAATTCTAGTGATACAAGAACCACATCTGTCATCAACTGGTGAGATCCAAAGCCTAAGCCCTAATCCTCAATGGCTAAGGGGAAAACACTTCCCTTTCCACTGCCTAATACAGGTAGGGAGAAATATGCTTCAAAGAGGTGTTATTTATATAATCACACAACTAGAAGGCTTGGTCAGTGCAAAAGATACAATTTTGGTGTAAACATTGTGACGAAGCACTGTCTTGAACTATGCTTCAGGGAGTACTGTACTACACCCCAAAACTCATCTACAACAATGATAAATAGTTGTGTATGTTGCAAATAACCAAAAAACAGTAAAACTAAAGAAAACTCTAATTTAACACTTGATGGACATTAAAACTAATTTGGCGTTAAGCATAATTTCTGCTGCCGAATGCCTAGGCATCAGGGACCTAATCTTCAAAATTTCCCATTTTATCTTGGTTTGTAGATTTTTGTGATTTGTTTAACAGTGAGGTGTCAGCCAGCTACAGTTTAAAGGTTAACAAAAGAAAGCAACAACACCCAGTGGAAAGTCTGAACAATAGTAAATTAATATTTTCTGAAGCTGGTCATAAATTGTGTACACCCAATTTTACAAATATATACTCACAGAAAATTTACTGTGTCTCATTAACAGTAATAGGCCATAATTAATCTTGCTCACACACTGAAAGAAAAGGTTAACACAGAATATGTATAAAATCTATTAACTGTACAATCACTGAATTACTAATTACACTTGTTCAAAATATTTAAAAATCTCATGAACACTTATTGTACATGTGTTGACAAAGAAGACATTATTCTTAGAGTAGTCTACTACTGCATACATCTTGTGCATTGAACAGCAATCAAGCATGCATCTTTCTCCAGTCACCACCCCTGACTGCTATGAAGTCTTTTCCTTCAGGATCAATATTAATTCCACACACATGATGTTTTAATATACCGTACCGAAGCAGTTATATTCTAGATGTCAGTACATATTACAGTAGAGGAATCAATCCTCAAATCCAGCACCCTTGGTACTAAGACTGAATTATTTTTCAGGATTTTCCAGTTATGAGGGATAAGCTAATATTATATATCTATTTTAGGCCACAATCCCAGAAAGTCTAAAATGTTCTGGTAGTTTTAATTAAAGTTGTGCAATCTAATGGTTTCAGAGTTTTGATAGTAAGGTTATTGTTAATGTCTTAATGTCAGGGTTAAAACACTGGTATAAAAATTTTCAGTAGTACCAAGCCAGCATGTGTCCTGAACAGTATACTCTCACAGCAGTGTTATTCACATCTGTGTTTGCCCTGATACCACTAGACTCTACATGTGAAATACGATTAGCTTTAGCTAGCTAACTAGCACTCTTTCTCTATCTTTCTTTGTCCATTCACAAAATAATTCAGGCAAACTGTAAACAAGTGCAAGTTGCATCTGTTGTTGGCTGGCAAGGTTTGCATGGATCCCACACTTTTTTCTGAACAAGTGGTCATGTACAATATAAACAATAAACGATAATACACAGAATATAAAAGAAATCAGATATGAGTTCCTTAAGCCACTGCAGTTTTTCAACCCGACAAATACATCATCATCTAATATATCTGGTACTCTTCACTTAGCCTTTGCACTGATATACCCTTGTAGCAACTCTGCTTTAACAATATACAGATAATTATGTTTCCTCTTTGTACTACTAGCCATGCAGCTATCAGCAGCCACTACTTAGTATGGATATAAAGAGGAAAGCTTGACAATCATTACATTCAAAGGAAGTACTACAAATGTGGGTTTGTCATGTAATGATGAATGCTCATTATATGATAAAGGAGAGGCCAACTTTAGAGGGTATAAAGCAGAAGGGTACATGGCATACATAGGGAGGAAGTCACAGTTGGTGCAGTAAATCAGTGTCAGCCAGACAAAATAAGAATCTACATTAAAGGAAGGATTTTCAGAACATATTTTAAATAAGCCATTATGCTAACATGTAGTGTACCAAATAAGCTGTGGGTCCTGGGCCTCACTGTACACATGTTGGATGTGAACATTTAGGATACAGTATTATTATTATAATGAAAGAAGCAGGATACAGTGGTCAAAGTGGAATCACCTAAGATAAAAATTAACCCTCCCGTTCTTTCTTTCTCTTCTCCAAAAGTAATACAAATATATGAAATAAGCTGATCTGCAGGCATAACTGATAGACATTTATTTTATATCGCTAGTAAATTAAAAAAATGTATATTTAAAAAAATATAACTTAAAATATTTTAGTACAGTAAATGTGCAGTGACATTATCATAAACAATGTGTCCGAACTCTGTTGCTTCCAAGCTTGACATAATTTGCAAGTGTGTACTGAAGTTTTCATTGCTGGTGCACCTGGGTTATACTCTAAATGGAGTGTAATCAATTTACACTACCCCCTTCTCCACTAGTAGTAACCTCACAGACTTATTAACTACAACTGTGAAAGGTAAACGATGAGTCTCCTGTAAGTGAGAGTAAGTTGGAAAGAATGCTAAGGCACTTAAATGGGCCTTTTGTAGTGAATGGTTTCAAACTGCCTGTGAAGACTGCGATGATTATAATTTTATGCATGGATGTCATTGTTCATGTTTTCAGTGGTTGAGCAAAGTATGCAAGTTTGGAGCAGATGTTCTTCGTGAGGGTAAAAGCTCTGACTTTCAGATAGCATTGGTGGATAACACTTCTGTGGAAGTAATTGGTGCTGTGAATGCTGTTGGTAATATTTTGAATGATTTTACTTATAGTAAAATAATTCAAAGTATTACCAACAGCATATACAGGTAGAAGAGAAACTAAACTCAGCAGTGAGCTGTGAAGCCTTGTTGTCTCTCCTCAATCTTTTGTAAATGTTGTTATGAGGAGGAAGGGGAGGAGATGAATGCTCCAAAAGTGCTTGATATCAGGATTAACAAATCATGGAGTGAATATTGAGGCTTAGGATCATCAGGTCCTGACTGTCAAGCCAAACCCAGTGTTCCAGTGGACAATAGTGCTGTTGACCACACAGCTGAATTAGTATGGGATTCATTAAGTTCATTCCCAGTAAAGTAAGTAAAGGAGACTAAAAATTATGCTTTGGTGCTTAGTTTCCCAAATGCTGAAACAAAACAGGAGGCTGGAGTTTTCACGATATCCATGTTTTCCTGCTGATGCTAGTTTCTAAGTCTCTGAACCAGGGAAAATGCTGCCTAAGGTAACTGTGGTTATTCTTCTACCTTGCTCAGATAATGAAATTGTTTCTGGTATTCAGAAGTCAAAGAGCTATCCATAAAAGGTTGTGTTCTTAGAGTTTGTTTGTTTAACTATCAAGGTGGTAGCAGGATGGCTGTACTGAAGGAGTCTCCTGAAATCCAGAATGCTATTATTAAAAATGAACAGTATGTATTTGTTGGGTTGACAAGGTGCAAGATTGACAGGGTTGGATGACCTAGTGTTACCTTAGCAGGGAATTTAGCCATACTGCAGAAAAATGTCCTCATCAGGACAGTCTACCTAGGTTTGCTTCTTGTGCTGGAGATCACAAGTCTAGAAATCACAACAAATCATCTTCCTGTTGCATCAACTGTTGCTACAGGGATGTTCCTCGGGTCACAATTCACTACTTTACATCTAGGGTGGACTGTTTGGAGACAGTGTCACAGGTCCATTAATAGAAAATATAAATTTTACATCCTCAAGACACTTCCAATCCTCCAATCCTTACCTTGAAAGGTAGAATCTTTGAACATACATACATACACGGAGGGAGGGGGTAAAGGGGGTTTCGTGAGCAAAGGGCGTGGGCTTCCAGCAAGCGTGCGTGAGCATGTTAGATAGGAGTGAATGGCAATGAATGGTTTTTGGGACCTGGCGAGATGTTGGTGTGTGAGCAGGGCAATATTTTGTGAAGGGACTCAGGGAAACCGGTTAGCGGACTTGAGTCCTGGAAATGGGAAGTACAATGCCTGCCCTTTAAAGGAGGGATTTGGGATATTGGCAGTTTGGAGGGACCTCTAAACTGTCGTATCTGAGCGCCTCTGCAAAGACAGTGATTATGTATGAGTGATGGTGAAAGTGTTGAATGATGATGAAATTTTTTCTTTCTTTCTTTTTGAGTCATCCTGCCTCGGCGGGAAACGACCGATGTGTTAAAAAAATCAACAAGAAATATAATCATTATGTTATTTACGTCTGACAGAAACATAGCTGTTGGAGTCAAAAAGAGCCTGGGGGAATTGCTCTCCCCAGATTCTTTTTGATTTACCATATTCTGAAGTCAGCTGCTGCTCATGGTGGTGGAGTTGCAGCTCTTATTAATTTTTGTCAAGTGTTCATCATACACCAATTAGTCAAGACTGTTTTGTCATTTGAGGTAATGGAATTGGCAGCAACTTGTGTGACTGATGATTGTGTATCATTCTGGCACCAATGACAAAGAGTCCTTGTTTCTTGATGAACTTGGTTTTCTCATCAAATTCTTTGTAAAGAAGAGTGGTCAACTTCTTTTGTAGTGACTAACTATTGGATAGATTGTCCACAACAGAAACTCTTTTCACACAAGTTCCTGGAGCTAACAGAATTAAATAATTTTGAGAATAATGTATTATCACCTGCCCACATAGGCAGCCATATATTGAACTTCGTTCTAACTACTGTCAATTTTCGGAGCATCAATGATGTTTAGGTAATATCTTCTGATATTACTGTGTCTGATATCTCGTCATTACTTTAAGTATTGATATTTCAGTGCCGCCTCACTGGGAGTGCATACTGTCTTTCCATAATTATACTATTATCAAAAAGAAGCACCAAACCTACAAGGGTCCATAATTATAGAAACCTTGATCTGGGTGCATTTGCACTATCTGCTGACCAGTTAGCAAAGATTTTTAATGAGGTGTCTGTGGTTGTGCCTAGTAAGTTCTGTCCTTTGATCACTAAAAGGATCTGGATGTATGTCTTTGCCCCTTGGTATGATTCCTCTGTTGCCCAGCTACAAAGATCTTATAGATTATGTAGAAGCCCTCAGAGCTGTCCTGAAAAGGGCATCAGCTGGGAAAGTGGAATACTAAAGGGTATAAAGCGAACCATGTGGTAATCAGGGGCTCCTTTTTAGCTTGCTTTTTCATGTATGTGAACCTGCTTTTTCTATCTGTGATTTTACTTTTCAACTGGCCTCTGACTTCTCTGATTATTTTGGTCAAAAAATAGAGAATATTTGTTGGGATCTGGATTCAGCTCAAGCAGGTGCAGAGTTCTCTGTGATTATTCTGGTTTATAATGTATAAAGAATGACGTTTTTCAGTTTGCTCTTGTTTGCAAGAATGGGGTTTTGGAATATATCATGGGTTCTAATAAAGTACATTGTGAGTTAGATCCTATAACTGTTTCAAAGATATTGCCCGCACATAAAGGTGCAGTTTCTTTCATAACTGTGTTGATCAAATGCTTTCAAAGCAGACATTTTTCAAGCAACTGCTCCTCAAGAAGCCTTCCCTGATTCAGAAAACAGGTCAAATTATGTCATGCTTCTAATCTTATGTTCCTTTCTAAGTTGACTGAATATGCAATTTTTAAATAAACTTTCTTTTTCTGGAGAGGAGCGATGTTTTATCATTTGTTCAGTCTGCATGCAAGCCATTTCATTCAACTGAGATGACTTTGAGCAAAGTTTATGATTTGGTAATGAACACTTGTTTAGGAAATGTGTTGCTGCTAATTTTGTTGGACATATCTGCTGCATTTGATACCACTGATCATGGACTGCTGAAAAGTGATCTCAGCTGTGACCTTAAGGGTACTGAATTCTCTCTTCTGAAATCATCAGTATTTTTTTTTTTTTTTTTAACAAGTCAGCCGTCTCCCACCATCTGAGCCATCTCTTTTGCTCTATGCCTTTCTTCAGTGCTCTATTCTTGGACCAGTATTGCTTACTGCTCATGAGTGGCTTACTGTTGGATGCTGATGATGCACAAGTCTACATCTGGGTTTTAACCCATTCATTGTCGAGACCCCTCCTCACAAACTTGCTCACAGTGTCGAAGAATTTAAAAAAAAAAAATTATTGTTTCTTATGAAATGATAGAGAATCTTTTCCCGATGGTAATGACACCAAAAGTACGAAATGTGATGGAAATTACGCTCTCACGAAGTTAGTGGTCTTGGCAATATACACGCATCAGTGATTTTGCCTACTCTAAGCCCTATTTTCAGCCAATTCCATTGTTCCAGTCAACCAAACTCAGAGCTATTTCACTAGAACTCCATTTGTCCTAGCGACTGAGTACAAGAAACTGCCCATTTACCGATTTCAACTAGCCAAAAAAGTGGTCAGAAATTGGTAATTTGGCCAATTTCACATAAATTTCAAAAGATGTCAATTTCAAAATAGGGTCCAGAATAAACAATGCAGACATTCCTGGCATTAAAATAACATTTTCTATGTTCATTAATCACATCTCCAGGCCCCTCTTATATTACTCTTGTTTTCCATTTTGAATTCACACAAAAAACAGAAGATTTACTGTTATGCAGACTACTGCATTATTGTAATAATTGCATAATTAATGTCAACCCACTTGTGACTACATATTAGACTGGCCAGTTAGACATGTATTGGATGGTGGCATCATTTGTTTACTCTTGAACATCGGCAAAAATCAAACATTTCCGCTACTTTGAGTTCAATTTCAAGGTACTTTTCATCGTGAAACCAATCAAAATCATCTCTATTTCTGTAATATATCTTCCATTCTATCAAATGAGATGAAGAAAACAAGAAGACAATCATAAATACCATACAAAAATACACCTCAAAATCGGCATTTTAAACCAAAAACATGGTCGGATTTTTTTTTTCTCATTATGCACTGCAGGATTTTTTTTTATACTATGCACACTGACCACACAGACCCCGCTAGAATTTTGGTGTACTACTACGGCACCAACACTGGCTTGCAAGCTGTAGTACTATGGCACCAACAGTGAAACGGTTAAATGTAGAAGATGCAAAACTTGGCTTTAGTTTTCTTTTGCTGGATATTTAGATATGGATAACAAATAGGCAACCAAAACAAAATGAGGGTAAGACATATTTTGATTATCAGGGAAAATTTCAGGGAAGTAGATTGAAGATTTTGGTGCCTTTGATTGTGGTATTGTCAATTTGCAACTTGTGGAATCAGTGAGGGATCTAGGTGTCTAACTTGATTCTTCATGATTTGTTAATACACATCAACCAGTGTTAAATCTTGCAATTTTCAAATTAATCTCAATGCAGTCATAAAATATCTTAAGTGTAGTATCTTAGTCCTTATCTACACATTTGTTTCCTCTTGAATTGACTTTTTGTAATTTTTTGTTAGTTTGCTAAAAAGACTTCAATCTGTATTGAGTCATGCAACTAGATTGGTATGTTCACTCCCAACTAGGGTTCCCACTGGTCCCTCCATTTGGACCCGCACTGGCTCCCTATCAAGGCAGGAACTAAATTTAAACTCTGTTTATTAACATTTAACTATTAAACATAAAAGATACACTCTAATATGTGTGTATCTTTTATACTGGGCTCAGGAATGTTTCTGTGAATTGCCACCAACCTCATGCTGTTGGAGAGAAGTCATCACAGAAAGAGCCTTTTCTTATGAAGTTCTTATCTTGTTCAACTGTTTGCCAGTGTCTGTTAAGTCAGAACCCGTTCATGCTTTCAAGTTTTAGTTGAAAGTACAACTCTTCTCTAGAACTTAAGATCCTGATAATCATACTGTTATTATTGAGTATAAACCTCAGCACTTCATCTGTGCTGTTGTTTTTGTATTTATGGCTTGGTATGTGAGTGCTTGTGAATTTCTTGAAAGAATAGGTGCTCAAGAATAACAAAATCCAAGTTGTTGCTATTATTATTATCTTTTATTCTCTCATTTGTATTAAAAAGTTTAAGTAGAAAACTATGATTAATGTTAATGGCTCATCAGAAGCATTATGCTACACTATTCTTCAGTTATTTTTTCTGGTATAAGTGATAAATGTGTCCCTAATCATTACTTTGTGATATGAATTATGCTTAGCAATGGCACCCAAATTAACAAAAACCATTCTGGGAACTAGGCATGCAAAAAAGTACCTGATTTGATTTAATTTTTCTACACTGGGAAATCCTGAAAATTAGCACATTCTTTGTCGAAAAGAAGCCGAATTTGAGGATTTATCTTCTCTAAGTATTTCGGTGCCCAACATAATTTAGTCTAATTTATCCAATTTATTTTTAAAAGCACAGTATAAGCAAATAATAAATATGACATCTCTCGATACAATTTTTGTAAAACACAGCATTATACGAGACTCTGTAGTAAATGTATCACCACTGTGCTTAAATTCAGTAAATACTGTAACATTACTGAGCTAGTATAAATTTCACTGAAAATTCAGTACAAGACTAACTTGCCTTAATGAGTGCCATAAACAAGCATCTCCAGAGAATGTATTGGGGATAAGTTGCTTTATTAATAAGAAAAGATATGAGGTAAGATTGTATTAAAGCTAAGTAAGATGCAGAGCCTTGAAAAGAGGCTATGTGAAATAACTGTCCCTCAAGGCTCATTATTACTCAACTCATTAATAGCTCGTCAAATTAACTTTTCTGCTGCTCTATTTGAATTTTACTGCCCTAACTACAGGCTGCTAAAAGCAACAGCCTGTTTGACCAGGCAGTCAACAATAAAGTCTGACCTCAGGTTGGGCTTTGAAAGTAGAACTCTCAAAACTGGTCTTGGGTAACTATCCTTATTTTAGAACAGCAAGCAAAGCATGACTTAGCTTGTGGACTTATACCACAAAATGTACTACCAATTGCCTTAACTATAATTGGTCACCTATATCATAGACAAAAAGCCTATATTCTAAAAGTATCTTTCTGCAGTTGCATATGTATGCCAAAAAATAATAAAAAAATATCACTTTAACCAGCAGGCAACAAAAAAATTGCTGGTGTCTATATTAAAACAATGTATCAGCAGCATATAACAAAGTCAAGCCTATAAGTACAGTATCTCATTTTATCTTTATCACTGAGGCAGTAAATAGGTTACTAAAGGAAATATCAAACACTCCACTGCTATGAAATTTATGTACAAATAGAATTATGAGATATATACTATGTAATGTCTATCTACTGTAGGTACTTCTGGAAGAGGCTATCTGTAATAGGAAAATAATTTAATTTTTTTTACCAAGCCAGCTTTTTATATATTCCTTAATGGGTTGGTAATACTGTAATCTGAGAAGTATCATTTCTCGTGTGGAGCGAACACCTCGAAGTAGGGATGATTCACTTTCAAATACAAGAATCACTGAACAAGTAAGGATAAAGACAACAAAAATAAAAGCTACAAGAAATACTCTAAGAAACGTTTTTACACTAAGCCTACTTATCCTACCCCTTAATAGCCTTTGGGCCCCTCCCCTTGTAAGATCCTGTGGAAGAGACAAGTTGGGAACTTTAAGTTTCTCTCTTCTGACAGGTGCCAAACTACTTCTTTGAGGACTTTCTAGACATTTGTCTTCTTTATCTATTAGAGGAGGCTGAAGGTCATTTTGATTATGAGGTGGTCCTAAGGTCTCTGTTGATGAAGTATCACCAAACTCACTTGTGTGACCTCGACCACTGTAGTCACAATAGAGTTGTTGCTGAAGCATTGCTTCCTCCCCTGAAAAGCATTTAGTAAAATTGGGCAAAAAGTAAGGAAAGCAATGTGAAACTTATAATTTTGGATATACAAAACAATCCTATTACTGTCTATTTGTAATGTAATCTAAATTAGTTTGCTGAGTAGCTTCAAGGCAAACTAGTTAAAACACCCTTTACACCATCTTCTAATGATCAAGTCAACAATTTCCTAAAGGTAGGGACAATGATCTAATTAATGGGTTCACTAGTACTCATCAAAGCAAATCATAACATAAATCTGTCCAGCATGTAAAATTTAAATAAAGCATTCACACTGCAAAAGCCCCATGCTACCTAAGAAACCAAAAATAGCTCCATAATACTGTAAATATTCTATAAGTTAGGCTTTGCTATTACTAGCTATATGTCATGCACAGCCATAACATATTACATATAATTTATTAACATGCAATAAATGACATTCTCTATGCAAGCACAGGATCAGAGAATATATTTTCTTAGTCTACATACCTATTTTTTTTTTTTTGAGATAATTTAAATTTAGCATGTTTAACAGACTAAATGGCTTCACCAAGTTTCATTTAACAAGCAACAGCTTAAATCCTTTCCACAAAAACTTTTAACATTAAAAAATTACGGAATCACAAAGTAACATTATTAACATTGAACGCATAAACTATGATAAGTGTCAAAGCAATTTACATTAAAAGGTAGTAATTAATACAACTAATTTTGTTGTGGAAAATCAGACTACAAAAACTTACTTTCAAAGAAATAACAGAGAAATTTATACACAAACATATGTATAATTTGTTTAAAATAAGTCCTTTATTATAGAAAATATTAAAAAACCAATCTTACCATTTCCTCCAGGTTCCTTACTGTTTCCAATTACGTCCCTTTCTTTATCCTTGTGTTCTTCATCTTCCTGTTTTCCCTGGGTCTCCAAGCATGGTTCAAGACTACTCTCAGCGTCCATAACTAAAACAAGCATACATGCATTATGTCACCCTAAGCAGATCAGCAGTGTTGAACCTTAAGGCCTCTGTAAGACCTACTGTCCTATGCCAGGATCAACTAATCTTTTGGTCAGTACCAGGGGATGTATCTGAAGCAAGAAATGATATGCTGAAAATTATTTATCCAGTAGAGTCTGAGTTACATCTCTTTCTTGGACATTCCTACAATGAATCACAAGAGAGAATGCATGTTTATGTATATCATGTAATTTGAAAATTGCAAATTCAATAGCTCAAATATGTAATAATGAAAGGGTTGTAAATTATGCCTCAGATTTAGTGCTTTCTGTGAGTATGATACTGTAATCATATATATGTTATGTGAAAATGTTTGCTCTTTGAGAAATGATTAACTCCAAATTTAAGATATAGTAAGGAAAGTGACTGTTTTTTTGCCCATGCTGAGCCTATCTTAAAATATCTGTGTTATCATTTGACAGATGTATTCCAGTTTAGATTCCCTACCAGATAAAAACCAGTTACTCTTACCAGATAAAAACAGGTTACTCTGAGTTTATTAGTTTGACACTGAACATAATCACCAATCCCTCACAAACCATAACACATTACTTTGAAAATTTTGTTTAAGCAGCCTTAGAGGAAAGACCTTCTCTATGCTGGGATATATGAACCTCTCTATAATCTAGCTATCTCTACCAATACTGCCTTAAAAAGTTTTTGATTTTCAGTCTCATTATAAATACAGTGGACCCTCGGTTATCGGTCGTAATCTGTTCCAGAAGGTCGGCCTAAATCCGAAAAGGCCGAAAACCGAAATAATACTTCCCATAAGAATTAATGTAAATCTAATTAATCCATTTCAGACACCCAAAAATATTAACAAAAAATACATTTTTTAAGGATTAACTATAGTTTTACATACATAAAACAATGAGAAATAAATATAAAGCACAAATTTTATTGATAAATGAACATTATGTACGTTTACTGAAGACTCTTGTTGGCATATTGAAGAAGGCAGGAGGGGAGAGGGAGTTGGGAATCCCCAACACCCTCACTCCACTGTGTAGTGTTGTCCCCTTGGGCTACACAACACAGCCATATTATTACACTACACAGCCATATTATTACCATGTTCACTAAGTTTAATCTTTTCTAACAACTACCTTTAGATGCCACCATAAACAAAGAAAGAAGCAGAAGTGAATAATTCATGCCGAGAATTGTAAACAAACGCTTATGAAGGGTGGTTACTGGGCGAGACGCCAGATTCACAGTTTTCTCTAATGCTGAATCAGAAAAAATGTAATATTTACCCTCCACCCTCCTCCTTGATTCGCCAGTACTCTTCACTCGATAGCATATAAACATTGCATGTTTATATGCTATGTTCATATGCTATATGCCTCTTCAAGGGGGACTCCTTGGCATGGTGAAGAGGTTCTTGGTCTGAGGATTTAGACCTGTTGGTCTCCTTCCTCAGACCGAACCTAATTACCCTCCAATCCCCCCTTCCCTATCCCATCCTCCCCTTTTCCCTTTCCTCCTCCTCCTCCCCACCCCTCCCTTTTGCCCTTCCTCGTTTTGGCCTTTGGGATTTTTCCCACAGGCGCGCTAGTTCCTAGGTAGGGGAAAAGGGTACCAGGGTCCATCCCATTCCGTTGGGTTCTTGGCAGTGGTGTAGTTATCCGGTTTAATCGGATTGCCTCGATGTTCCGGAAACCCTCCAATCGGTGGTGGCTTTGGGTGTCTTCGGAGACCGTTGATTCTCGGAAGCCAACATTCGATTCTGGGGAGGTGTCCGAGTAGGCATCCTTTTGTCGCTGATAGCCGGCAAGAGTGCTATCCCGTTCTTTTCTGCCACTGGGTAGCTCGGCAGCATGTGACTATGCGTTATCCCGCGGGATTCTGGTTTATCCCTCAGGATTGCTCCGGTGACGCCGTGTTTTCCATTTTATCTTTATTCTATTGCGGTTTCTTGTTTCTTAAGGGCGTGGAATAATTTGAGCATACATAACCCATTCACAACTACGACACTACTACAACCCAACCCATCTCTTTGGAAGGACCTACCCTCTCTGGGAATCCCGCCCCAGTGAATTTGCCCTCGCTCTTCACCTGACGTACTATAACGCCAGGACTTCTCTTCTGCTTCAGAATCTCCCGCTAGACTGAGTGGTGATCTTTGCACCTACCCTCGTTGAGGACTGATTACTCATCTTCTGTACTAGTCTACTGCTCCTCAAGTTATGTCCTGGAATTTGTATTGAAAAGCCATGGATGGCGAAACGTCTACAATAAAGATACCCAGATGTTGCACATGTGTCTTACTCTCATCTTGTCGGTATTATATACCATTCGTACACAGTTTTACCCTGTTGGCGTTTGCTTACAGGAACCAAAATTACACTCTGCTGTTATCTCTCCCATCTCAGGCTATAATTTATTGTATTCTTCAGATCCTTTTCCTGATGGGACCTTTAATGAAAGTGCCCTTCTTCTACACACTGATATTCCGTACCATCAGCTATTTGTTCGTATTTCGCTGCATTACACAGCAGCCCATATCCACTTGAATAGGTGGTATACGCTCTGTTCTTTATATCTCTCTCCTTCTCGGGCATTATCTATTCCGGATATTGCCTTTCTTGTTTCGTCATTACCACCACTGATCCTGTTACTTGGCGATTTTAATGCCCATCATTTCCTCTGGGGGAATCTCACTGTGATTCCCGTGGCATTCAGTTAGAGGCTTTTCTTGCCACCCACCCCCTCCATGTTTTAAATACAGGTACATGTATTCACACCCATTTTGATCCTCGGACTCACACTCTCTCTTGCATCGATCTCTCAGTCTGCTCTTCCTCCGCCGCATTAGACTTCACCTGGTCTGTTCTCCCGGATTTACATAACAGCAATCATTTCCCAATCATTCTTACTTCCCCTTCATATTCACCACCTCTTCGTAACCCACACTGGCAATTTGATCAGGCAAACTTGAACCTTTACTCACAACTAACTGTTTTTAGTGAGGTTCCTTCTTCGTCCTCCATTGATGAGCTTTTACACCTCTTCTCGTCCTCTGTTTTAACCTCGGCTTCTCATTCTATACCCCAAAATTCGGGCAGGCATTCTCAGAAATGCGTGCCTTGGTGGTCTCCTGCTTGTGCTCGTGCAGTAGTTTGAAACGCGCTGCGTGGGGCCGGTACCGGGACAATAGAACCACAGAGAGACTTCTTGATTTTAAGCAGAAGCATGCGATCGCTCGCCGTGTCATCCGTGACGCTAAACGCACTTGCTGGCGAAATTATGTCTCCACCATCACCTCTGCTTCCTCTATGAGTGCAGTCTGGAAAAAAGTACGAAAACTGAGTGGTAAATATTCTCCTGACCCGGCTCCTGTTCTGCGGGCTGCCGGTGTTGATATAGCAAACCACTAGATGTTGCCAATGAAATTGGCACTCATCTGGTCCGTATTTCTCAGGGGCTCCATCTATGCCCCTCGTTTCTTTCCTCAAAGTCTGCCAGAGAGTTAGCACCCTTGGACTTTTCTTCTCTCAGAGAAGAACAGTATAATGTGCCTTTTACACTTCAAGAACTGGAGGCAACACTCTCAGCTTGCCGATCATTGGCAGCTGGGCCCGACGACATTCAAATTCGTATGCTACAACATTTACATCAGTCAGCCCTTGCAGTCCTATTACGCCTTTTCAATCATATTTGGTCACAAGGAGTTCTTCCAAAGCTGTGGAAATCTGCCATTGTTCTCCCTTTCCGCAAACCAGGCACTACGGGACATGAAGCCTCCCACTATTGTCCCATTGCTCTTACCAGTGCAGTTTGCAAAGTGATGGAACGTCTGGTAAATAGACGTTTAGTGTGGTATTTAGAGACACACAACAGTCTCTCCACTCATCAATATGGCTTTCGTAAGGGATGTTCTACCATAGACCCCTACTACGCTTGGATACGTATGTTCGTAATGCCTTTGCGAATAACCACTCAGTTATTGCCATATTTTTTGACCTTGAGAGGTCAACTTGGAGGTATAATATTTTGGCCCAAGCCCACTCCTTAGGCCTCCGAGGCAATCTACCATCCTTCCTTAAGAACTTTTTAACTGATAGACATTTCCGTGTTCAGGTTAATAATGTGCTCTCCCCGGACTTTATCCCCCAGGGATGTGTTCTGAGCACAACACTTTTTCTCCTTGCTATTAATGATTTGGACTCTAGTCTTCCATCAAATATTTGGTCATCACTCTATGTTGATGACTTCGCTATTGCCTGTGCAGGCGCTGACTGTCACCTCATTACAGTTTCTCTCCAGCATGCGGTCGACCGTGTTTCCAATTGGGCCACCACACATGGGTTTAAATTTTCCAGCAGTAAAACCCACCAAATTACTTTCACTAGACGCTCTGTCACCTCCATCACCCTTTGTACCTCTATGGCTCCCGTATCCCTGAACATGATACAGTCAAGTTTCTGGGCCTCCTCCTTGACCATAGGTTATCCTGGAAACCTCACATTACCTCTCTGAAGGCAACTTGTCACAGCCGGCTGAACCTTCTTAAAACCCTTGCTCATCTTTCATGGGGAGCTGATCGTCGAACCCTCCTTCGCCTACATTCCACCCTCATTTTATCGAAACTTGATTATGGTGACCAGATCTATTCAGCGGCATCTCCTGCTACTCTCTCTAGCCTTAACCCCATTCATCACCAAGGATTACGTTTATGCCTTGGTGCTTTTCGCTCTTCCCCTGTTGAGAGCCTCTATGCAGAAGCGAACGTTCCATCCTTATCCGATCGCCGTGATGCCCATTGCCTTCGCTACTATGTACGCTCTCATGATCTCCGCAATCCTTCCATTTATAGAATGGTCACTGATATTAGTAGACATTCTTTATTTGTTCGCCGCCCCTGTTTACTCCGTCCCTTCTCTCTTCGCCTTCATTCGCTCTTGTCTTCTCTTCAATTACCACCTTTCTATGTTCATGTAGCATCTCATTTTTCCCTACCCCCCTGGGAAGTTCCAACTGTTCGAGTCTGTTCTTTCTCTCTCCCTTGCTCAAAAGCCCAACTGTCTATGGTCGCTTCCCGCTCTCTTTTTCTTGACCACTTCCACTCTCATTCTCATGCCATTGCTGTGTACACAGATGGCTCTAAGTCTTCTGACACCGTAGGATTCGCAGCAGTGTTTCCGGACAGCGTCGTTCAAGGGCATTTACTATCTTCGGCTAGTATTTTTACTGCTGAATTGTATGCCATCCTTGCAGCACTTATCCGTATTGCATCTATGCCTGTGTCATCATTTGTGGTTGTCTCAGACACCCTTAGCGCTTTACAGGCTATACAGAAATTTGATACACCTCACCCCTTAGTCCTCCGTACGCCGCATCTTTACCAAGCATAAAGATATTGTTTTTTGTTGGGTCCCTGGTCATGTTGGCATACAGGGCAATGAACAGGCAGACACTGCTGCGCAGTCAGCAGTACATGACCTACCAGTTTCATATAGAGGTATTCTATTTACAGACTATCTTGCTGCAATATCGTCCCACCTTCACACCCGTTGGCAACAACGTTGGTCTACTATGCTCGGTAACAAACTTCAATCTATTAAACCGAGTATAGGTTACTGGCCGTCTTCTTATCACCAGTGTCGAGGTTGGGAGACTACTCTCTCCCGTCTTCGCATTGGCCATACTCATCTTACTCATGGATATCTCATGGAGAGGCACCCTGCCCCTCTCTGTGAGAATTGCCAGACTCCATTATCAGTCAGCCACATTCTGTTGGACTGCCCATTTTATCAACGAGCACGCAGAAATTACCTCCGTCGTAGTCTTCGCTCCGCTGCTCTCTCTTTACCTTCCCTTCTCGCTGATGGACCCACCTTTCATCCGGACTCTCTCACTGACTTTTTGACAACAACTGATTTACTTCACAAATTCTGATACCTTCAGCCCTTTCTACCTCAATCTCTTGCTACCCTCTACCCCCGTACTATCCCCTGCCCCGCTGTTTTCTGTAACCTACTGATCATCCCTCCTCCCTTCTGCTGCCCAATACCCTCGCTTCCTTCCCTACCCTGCAGCGCTGTATAGCCCTTCTGGCTTAGCGTTTCTTTTTTATTATAATAATAATAATATATGCTATATGCTACGTAATGTGTTTCTTACATAATTTTAAAGAAAATATCACAGATGGATTAATGAAAATGTTGACATTAACCTAAAATAAGACAATGTGCCCAAGATTGATTATAATTAACCCTTTCAGGGTTTCCAACGTACTAGTACAGCTTACGCACCAGGGTTATTGACGTACTAGTACGCATAAATTCTAGCGCCTTCAAATCTAGCAAGAGAAAGCTGGTAGGCCTACATATGAAAGAATGGGTTTATGTGGTCAGTGTGCACAGTATAAAAAAAAAATCCTGTAGCACACAGTGCGTAATGAGAAAAAAAACTTTGACCATGTTTTTGGTTTAAAACAGCAACTTTGCAGTGTATTTTCATATGGTATTTATGATTGTATTCTAGCTTTCCTGGTCTCATTTTATAGAATGGAAGACATATTACAGAAATTTAGATGATTTTGATTGGTTTCACAATGAAAAGTACCTTGAAAGTGAGCTCAAATTAGCAGAAATGTTTGATTTTTGCCAAAGTTCAAAAGTAAACAAATCATGCCACGCGTCCAATACACGTCAACTGGTGAGTCAAATATTCTTTCACAAGTGTGCTGATATTATTTATACAATTTCTACACTAATGCAGTAATCTGCATAACAGTCAATCTTCTATTTTTTGTGAGAATATAAATTCAAAGAGGAAAGCAAAAGAAATGTAAGAGGGGCCTGGGGACATGACTAATGAACAGAGGAAATGTTATTTTAGTGCCAGGAATGTCTGTCATGTTTATTCTGGACCCTATTTGGAAATTGGCATCTTTTGAAATCTGTGTGAAATTGACAAAATTGCTAATTTCTGACCACTTTATTGGATAGTTGAAATCAGTAAATGGGTGGTTTCTTGTACTCATTCAATAGAAAAAATGGAGTTCTAGCGAAATAGTTTGATTTTTGTCGACTAGTACACTGGAATTGGCCAAAAATAGGGCTCAAAGTGGGCGAAATCGCCGATGCGTAAACATCATCGAGACCGCTAACTTCGCGAGAGCATAATTCTGTAAGTTTTCCATCAAATTTCATACTTCTGGTGTTTTTATGATCAGGAAAAGATTCTCTATCTTTTCATAAGAAAAAATAATTTTTTTTTTTCAAAAAATTTTCGACCCTGAGAACAAATTTAGGAGAGGGCCTCTTGGCCCTGAAAGCGTTAAACATACATCGCATATAAACAGTGCATATTTTCATACACCATGTAACGTGTTTATTATATAATTTTGAAGAAAATATCATAGATGGATTAATGAAAATGTCTACATTAACCTAAAATAAGACATTTAACTCTTAAACTGTCCAAACATAGATCTACTTTCGCACGCGTAGCGCTCCAAACATAGCTCTACATCCAATTTTACATTGTTTCTTGTGTAAAAAAAATGTAGATCTACGTTCGGAGCACTACGCGTGCAAACGTAGATCTACGTTTGGACATTTTAAGGGTTAATGTGCTCGAGTGATTTATTACACGTCCAATACGGCCATTCTCCGAAATAAAGGCAATAGCCGGGATAGAATTTCGGCCAAAAAAGCGGGCGAAAAGCCGATTGGCCGATATCTGGAACAGCCGATAACCAAGGATCCACTATACTGTATTAAATGGTAGGATACACTGGAAGCAGTTTTACATTTTATGTTTTCATTAAAATTTTAAATTACAGAATATGGAAAACCTTTTTCACAGTAATATATTTTTGTGTGAGACTAGTAGGCCCTTTTAGAGTGCCTTTAATTAATTGTAATTTTTTTAAATGCTCTCACACTGCAGTATTATTGATGATTTGCTACAATTTATTTAGTGCCTGACTATCATTACAAATACCAAAGATGGAAACATATTTGCCACCTCTCATTCAACAGCTGTCTTACCAGAAAAGGACACACATCACAAAATTTAAATGACCAATCACATTTTTTTCCTTAATTTTCTTTATCACAGTCATTACATTAAACTCATTCTTTCTACTGATTCTTATTTTTCAGAGAAGGCAACCAGTCAAGTATACATTCATTTATATACCAATCAAACAACCACATGAAAATCTTTTAGGAACCTTCAAATCTGAAGGTAGTTGAAATATCTGGGGTGCATCTAGTTTCTATGTGAAGCCATCTCCTCAAGGAAGTTCTCAGAGAAAACAAAGTATGGAAGATAATTATAATACAAATTCTTCATCATGGCTGCTGCTTCTAATCTTTAGTAAAAAAAAAAAAAAAATTTTAAGCTGATGTATTTCATGTGAATAAATCAAGTGAACTAAGTGAAGAAATAATGATAAGCAACTTTAGTATGAGTTTCAAACACCTCTCTTCCATCTTAGTCCCCAGTATCAAGTACACAGAGTTGCAAGCCAAAATGAAAGACAGCTTTTGAGGGGTTGGAAAGAGGATAGCCTGAATAATACCCAAGCTTTTTCTATTAAAAAGATAATACTGAAAGAGAAAAGTGTATATACGATTGACTCTCTTGTAATTTGTATTCCATGAAACAGAAATGGGCCCAAGAAATTAAATAAAAATACTTTTTACACCCTGGTACATGAACATGATCAATAATAAATAAATCAAATAACATTACAAAGGAGCTTTTTTCATAGCAGAGATGCAGTCTATAATGTTCGAGCAAAGAATATACAGTAGTACATTATAAAATCTATAACTACGATCTATAGTGTAACATAATGCAAGAGCGCATGTAGCTTTGAAAATCATATTTTTTCATTATCAAGCATATTTCATTGCCAATGTGAAAAATACATATTCTTTAAATAAGCCAAAAAAAAAAAAAAAAAAAAAAGAGGAAACTGTTTACTGTAAAAAAATTAATTACCTGTGAACTTTTAAATCATGAAAGTATATGATATGAAAGACTCCAAAATTAATAATTAAATAAATCAGAAAAGTAAAAATACAGACAGCACAATATTCTATGATTACATAATTATAATATAAACAAAATATAAACATGATAATGTAAAATTACTTGAAAATGTCAAAATCATCAGATCAGTAGTAAATATTGCTGTACTTTCAAATCTAAAAATATAAAGTAAAATAAACAATAAAAAAATTAAAAGAATTTATACAAAAATAATTCATTTCAAAAAAGCAGCCCTGCAAAATGCAACTAATGCAAGCTGACACTACTCCCCGAAGGATTTAGTCTAGCATTCTTTTTTGAACATTACTCTGGATGCACTCTAAACTGAACTGCAGACTTCATAAAACTAGCCTATCAATCCTACCTTTAGTGTCCCTAAAGAAAGAGCCCAATATAGTCTTGGATTAAACATGCTGTGACTCAGGACATGAATCTAGTTGGACATTGTCTTTAAAACACAATAATGCTAGATTATTACAAGTATTTTCCGACAAATTACAGCACCATCTTCTGCATATTTTCAGTATATACCATTTATTATTTATTCTTGGAAACTAATGAGCTTGCATTGACAACACTGTGTTGGACAAACAAGGATCAGATGAATCAAGCATGGAAAATCCTATCCTAGCCTAGAATCAGCTAATACACCCATAACAATCTTAATGCTCGGACTTACAACTTGAATCAAGGATGGATGATGAGCGTGATTTATTCTCCTGTGCCTCTAAGAGTGGCTCCAAAAGTGATAGTGGTGGCAAGGTTGATTCTGGACAGTAGGCAGCACCAGGTCCTTTAAAAAATAAATGAAAACCATTAGAAACAATATGAACAGAAATATGCAACATTCATCTGCAATCCTGCTTTCCATCTTACCCTTAATTCTTTTAAAAATAATTCTACCACACACTTACCTGGAGGGTATTCCGGGAATCAACGCCCCCATGGCCCAGTCCATGGCCAGGCCTCCTAGTCGAGGAAGCTGTTATTACTGGCTGCATGTAATCAAACATACAAACCATAGCCTGGCTGATCGGGTACTGACTTTAAGTATCTGTCCAGCTCCCTCTTGAAGGCAGCCAGGGGTCTACTGGTAATTTCCCTTATGCCTGGTAGGATGTTGCTGAACAGTCCTGGGCACTGGACATTTACTGTGTTTTCTCTTACTGTACTCATGGCACCCCTACTTTTCATTGGGGGTATGCTGCAACATTTACCCAGTCTTTTGCTTTCGTAGGAGTGATTTCTGTGTGCAGATTTGGAAACAGTCCCTCTAGGATTTTCCATGTATAGATTATGATGTATCTCTCTCACCTGTGCTCCAGGGAGTACAGGTCAAATGACCTGTACCAAACCTCTTTCTATGTACAAATAACTTGCACATAGGAGAATGAAGCTTATGTTTTGGCCTAACTTACACCATTAACTAGTCACACCAGTGAATAGTTCAAGTCAGACTGAAATGTCATCATAAGTTTCATTCTCCTATGTGTGGGTTATTGGTGTATTATTCCAGTCATGGTATTATGCCTTTCTAGTCTTCTCTTTCTACACAAAGTTCAAAGGCCTCTCATTATCATTTACCCCTGGCACCCCCAAATTTATCTACTATGGTTTCTATAATAGTTACTCCGACTTTAGAATTTAGGTCCTTCACCACAACTACTCTCTCAGTTGGTTCAAAACTACCTAAACACTCACTTTAACATCTCCCAAAATCTCTCTCCTCTACATTCCTCTGTTCTCCAGGCACATAAACACTTGGTATAACCCACTTTTGGCATTTGACCCTTATTTTAATTTATATAATACTTGAATTATTACATTTAATACCTCTTTTTCTACCATAACTGATCCTTCAACATTACTGCTACTCCCTTCTTAACTCTAATTCTCTCAGATACACTTGACTTAATCCCATTTATTTCTCCCCACTAAAGCTCTCCTTCCCCTTCAGCTTTGTAATTCGTAGGGCCAGAACCTCCAGCTTTTTTTCATTCATAACAATGACACTCACTTCTCTTATCATCTGCACTACATCCCCGCACATTCAAACATCCCAACTTGAAGTTCTTTTTTTTTTTTTCAATACACTGGCAGTCTCCCACCGAGGAAGGATGACCCAAAAAAGAAGTAAACTATAAGGATTTTCCTCTTTTTACATTTAGTAATTTCTTCTTCTTTTTTCAACAAGTTTCTCTTTCTAAATTTAGTAATATATACAAGAGATAAAGTTACTAGCCCTTTGCTCCCAGCATTTTAGTCACCTTTCTATACCATGCATGGCTTACAAAGGAAGGAATATTTTTTCCACGTTTTCTGTGAAGAATAATTATAACTTGGAAATTTACGAAAAGTAAAACTGTAACCCAACCTCTCCTCCCCCTCTCCCCCCCAAAAATCTTAAAAACTTCATAGACTGACTAATTACAATCATCTGTAAAAGATGGAGAGAAATACCTCACCTCCACAGCCCCCATTTATGTGGTTGAGCCCTTCAGTAGAGTCTTGTGAGCCTGTGTCAGCCCCACACAATACATCCTCATCCAAACTACTGCTTCGGTCTATATACGGAAGAGGCCGGTGGACTCGACTCATTACAGCTGAAGCAAGCAAACTGAATTGTACATTTAGATGAGTAATGGGGGTAAGGGGGGAATACTATACATGGAGACTACACTTTAAAATGGAGTAAATACTCTATGTTCAAAAAGATTATGTTACAATGATACTATACCATACAGATAAGCAACCGAAGCATTAACATAAATAAATTTAATGAAGATATTTGTACAGATGGGATGTGGAGCAAAATAAAAAGGGTTTAAGTTCCAGTTGAAATGCTTTGAGTTTTTCAGATATATAACAGTATCCTTTCTAAATGATTATAAAACATATTTGCTTCTTATTAAAAAAAAAAATTATTTTCAAAACACTATGCATAAACATTACATTTGAAAAGCCCAATGTACAGCATTTTGGGCAACTTAGACAAGAGTAAAACTGTTAGGTAAAAGGACACAAGTGCAACTAATGTGACATTTATAGTGGAACTTTATCAAGCCATGTAACGGCTTGATAACTGGACATAATCAATGATGTAACTAATGAAGGCAATGATAAAAACATAAGGCTGTGCGGTCTGTGTTTCATTTACATTTTGAGAAATTGTAATGTAAGCAACACAAAATTAGTTCTGAGCAATGCAAGACAGAACAAATCAGAATTTTGCCAATAACATGGAGTTGCCACTGACAGTCTAATTAAAATTATTCTTGTGAAAATGCTTTTAGAGGAATACCACACTGGCTGCTATACTAAAATTTGCTGTCTAGTACAAAAGCTTTAAAAGAATATCATAGCTACTGAACCAAAATTGATATCTTAGTACATGTACTGTCCCATATGCTTTCATGCATATGGAAAAGTAAGAAAAAGACCTTATTAATAAGAAGCTGCAGATGTAGCTTAAACAAAAGTGAATTGCGTGGGAAGATGATAAAAGTACTCGAATGAAAACCATCACTCATCAATAGCAGTTAGGATGTTTCAACCCACTGCATAAATATATACATTTGAACAAAAATTAATGCAATGCTTCCTGTATGGTATAGATATGGGAAAATAAGTCTAGCATGCAAACAACTATATGGAATTTTCTTCTGATCATATACAAGCATGATACCTACTATTATGCAGTATAGGCCAAGCTTCATGGAACACTTGGGTGGAAGGTGACAACAAGATCGGCATTATACTTGTATTGAATATGAGAGGTATCAAAGTTGAACAAAAGTACTATTATTGGAAGGTGTAAGTGATCAAAGTTAATAAATCTGATGTATTTACTGTGTGAAACAAAGCTCAAAATTTAATGAGTTGATGATTTTTAAGAGTTTTTCTACTTCCGGTGCCCAGCACACAAGAAAATGAAATTAGTAGAGAGAATATGCCTAATACTGAACTAAGAATGGTATGGTATGATACTGACATGTAACAATGTATCAGTATTTTTATCAGCAGAATTGATATTGGCGAGTACTGGTTAATGTTGATATCAGTATCAGTATCAGTGGGTAACGGCTAATTTTGATGATATAAGTATCAAGCTAAAATTGAGTATAAGCAAAGATTTTGGTATCATCCCACCCCTAGTGCAGTAATATATATTCTGGCCTATTCCAAGAATGAAGAAATATACACTGAAATATGATCTCTGTGGCAGCAGATCTTGCATGCTCAGTACCATTTGTGAGTATATGTCAGATCAAAGCAAAACAATTTTGGATGGGAGGTGAAGTGGTCATTTGACATACTGGAGTGTGTGCAGACTAACATTCACAAAGGGAATCTGGGGAAAATGATCTTTTGGATTCGAATTATGGAGGTTGGAAGTGTAGCATACACTCTGAAGGATAGGTGGGGATGTTCCACTTCGGTGGGTTATTTGAAATATAATTTCGCACATTTCTGACAAGACAGCTATTGAATGAATGATGATGAATGTTTCCTACCCTGGGGTCACCCTATCATAGTGTGAAATAGCCAATGTGTTTCAAAAATTACATTCTACTATTTACCCAAAATTCTGCAAGGTTCATCTTAGAGTAAAAATCATGACACCATTCACAACAAACCCACAAGTTTTGGAATAAATCTTGAGAATACATTTCAGTCCATCCTGGAGAGTTGCAAGTGAGAGGAGAATTGGGACAAAAGCCAGAATTCAGATCATATGTAGAGCTTGGGAGATAGCCAAGGACAGGTCAGGAGAAGTGAGGAGAGTTAATGTTAAGATAACTCACAGCTGGAAAAAAAAGAAAAAAAACATGCATGCAAAAATACAACCTGGAGAGTGAAGTAGTAGAGGCAGAATCCATACATAGTTTTAAGAATAGGTACAATATGGCTTTAGGAGCCAGGAGTGTGTGAACCTAGTAGCGACCAATGAAGGGGACAGGGCCAGGAGCTGTAACTCAACCCTTGCAATTACATATAGGTAAGTACATTATTTTGCCTTCTCTGATTTTTATTTACAGAATCTTAATAACATGAAGTCATCATGCTAATACTTTGGCAACAATTTAATCACTAATACCTCCAGTTTTCCATATTTCCTATTCTTCTTGCCCTCTCCAATATTGATGAAACATGCCACTCCCTTTAGAGACTTAATTAACCCTTTGACTGTCGCAACCCCCAATCCTGAGGTGTCTCCTGGTGTCGCAAAATTTCAAAAAAAAAAAAAAAAAAATTTTTTCTTATGAAATGATAGAAAATCTTTTCCCAATTGTAATGACGCCAAAAAAAACGAAATTTGATGGAAAACTGACGGAGTTATGCTCTTGCGAAGTTAGCGACCTCGGCGATATTTACAAATCGGCAATTTCGCCCACTTTGAGCCCTATTTTCGGCTAATTGCATTGTTCCAGTCGACCAAACTCATAGCTATTTCTTTAGAACTCCATTTTTTCTATCGACTGATTACAAGAAACTGCCCATTTACCGATTTCAACTACCCAATAACATGGTCAGAAATTTGTAATTTGCCCAATTTCACGAAAATTAAAAAATATGACAATTTCAAAATAAGGTCCAGAATGAACAATGCAGACATTCCTGGCTCTAAAATAACATTTTCTTTGTTCATCAGTCATGTCTCCAGGTTCCTACGATATTACTCTTGCTTTCTATTTTGAATTTTTATTCAGACAAAAAATAGAAGACTTACTATTATGCAGACTACTGCAATACTGTAATAATTGTATAAATAACATCAACCCATTCATGACTGCATATTAGAATGGCTAGTTGGACATTTATTGGACAATGACATCATTTGCTTACTTTTGAACATTGGCAAAAATCAAACATTTTCCCTACTTTGAGCTCCATTTCCAGGTTCTTTTTATAGTAAAATCAATCAAAATCACTCTACTTCTATAATATGTTTTCCATTCTATCAAATGAGACCAAGAAAATGAGAATACAACCATAAATACTATACGAAAATAGACCACAAAGTCGGCATTTTAATTAAAAAAAATGGTCGGAGTTTTTTTTTCTCATTATGCACTGCGTGCTCCAGGATTTTTTTTATGTGGTGCACACTGACCACACAGACCCATTCTCTCACATGTGGGCCTACCAGCTTTCTCCTGCTTGATTTGAAGCCGCTAGAATTTATGAGTATATATACGTCAAACACGGTACCTCGTAAGACGTATATATACGGCCGCGACAGTCAAAGGGTTAAGAACACAATAAAGTATTTGCCTTGTTGACATTAATGATGCTCTTTTCTGTCATTTTAGAGATAATAGCTGGTCCTCCGATAACTATGTCTTTTTACTCCCATTTAAACTTCCACCTGCAACTTGATAATGGTCCAGGATGAACCGAAACACCATCTAAAGATCTGCAGTATCTCCAAATTTGTGAGTTATTTGTTAAATATTCCCTGCACAAAATTATGACTTTTATTCTTTATAATACCATCATAAGTATCAGAGTCAGCTGGTGTAGTTGGAAGTGAAGTTGATCTCCCAATGTTTCTGAGAGAGACTCTATTTACAGTTGGTGGTTCTCTTAAGATGCTTGAGCTTTCCTCCACCACTTCCTTTTCACATCTTCCTGCATACCGAAAGCGTGAGCCTCGTGAGAAAAAAGATCCTCCTGTTACTACCACACCCTGTTTGTTGGAGTTTTGTAATCTGTGAAAAAAAACAAAAAGATATAAAGGTAAGTGAATAAAAAACACAGAAATATAAATAATTATCTAGATATTAGTGAATTTTTTACATCAAAGGATAATATAAAATATACATAGAAACTAAGCCTTACTGAAAGTTTATCAATAATTTTTCTGAATAGTTTATCCAATTTCTGAAGAAATGTGGTCATCACAGACTCGATATTCCCAGCAGGTGCATTAATCAACAGAGATTCCTATTTTTCCTCAGCTCCTTAACACTTTTGGGAGGGTGTGTAAAGGTAGAAAGTTGAAAATGAACATAGATAAGAGTAAGGTGATGAGGGGTATCAAATGATTTAGATAAAGAAAAACTGGATATCACATTGGAGAGAGGGAGTATGGAGGAAATGAATGTTTTCAAGATAACTGGGAGTTGACTTGTCAGCAGATGGGTTTATAAAGGATGAGGTTAACCATAGAATTGATGAAGGAAAAAAGGTGAGTGGTGCATTGAGGTATCTGTGGAGACAAAAAATGTTATCTATGGAGGCAAAGAAGGGAATGTACAAAAGTATAGTGGTACCAACACTATTAAATGGGTGTGAAGCTTGGGATGCAAATGCTGAAGTAAGGAGGTGGCTGGAGGCAGTGGAGATGTCCTGTCTAAGGGCAATGTGTGGTGTAAATATTATGCAAAGAATTCGGAGTGTGGAAATTAGGAGGTGGTGTGGAATTACTAAAAGTATTAGTCAGAGGGCTGAATAGCAGTTGTTGAGGTGTTTTGGTCACTTAGAGAGAATGGATCAAAGTAGAATGACTTGGAGAGCACATAAATCTATAGGGTAAGGAAGGAGGGGTAGGGGTCATCCTCAAAAAGGTTAGAGGGAGGGGGTAAAGGAGGTTTTGTATGCGAGGAGTTTGAACTTCCAGCAAGCATGTGTGTGTTAGACAGGAGTGAAAGGAGACTAATGGTTTTTGGGACCTGGCGAGCTGTTGGAGTGTGAACAGGTTAATATTTAGTAAAGGGGTTTAGGGAAACCGGTTAGCCAGACCTGAGTCCTGGAAATGGGAAGTACAATGCTTGCACTTGAAAGGAGGGGTGTGGGATAATGACAGTTTGGAGGAACTTCTAAACTGTCGTATCTGAGTGCCTCCTGATAGAATTTGAAGGTTTGTTGAGATCTGTTATTCTCATAACCTAAAAATTATTGATATAAACAAGAGATCGAGACAGAAAATTTAAATACGTATATTTTTTTTTTTTTTTCAACAAGTTTGCCGTCTCCCACCGAGGCAGGGTGACCCAAAAAAGAAAGAAAATCCCCAAAAAGAAAATGCTTTCATCATCATTCAACACTTTCACCAACTCACACATAATCACTGATTTTGCAGAGGTGCTCAGAATACAACAGTTTAGAAGCATATACGTATAAAGATACACAACATATCCCTCCAAACTGCCAATATCCCAAACCCCTCCTTAAAGTGCAGGCATTGTACTTCCCATTTCCAGGACTCAAGTTCGACTATATGAAAATAACCGGTTTCCCTGAATCCCTTCACTAAATATTACCCTGCTCACACTCCAACAGATCGTCAGGTCCCAAGTACCATTCGTCTCCATTCACTCCTATCTAAAACGCTCACGCACGCTTGCTGGAAGTCCAAGCCCCTTGCCCACAAAACCTCCTTTACCCCCTCTCTCCAACCCTTTCGAGGACGACCCTTATAGATTTATATGCTTTCCATGTCATTCTACTTTGATCCATTCTCTCTAAATGACCAAACCACCTCAACAACCCCTCTTCTGCCCTCTGACTAATACTTTTATTAACTCCACACCTTTTCCTAATTTCCACACTCCGAATTTTCTGCATAATATTTACACCACACATTGCCCTTAGACAGGACATCTCCACTGCCCCAACCGTCTCCTCGCTGCTGCATTTACCACCCAAGCTTCACACCCATATAAGAGTGTTGGTACTACTATACTTTCATACATTCCCTTCTTTGCCTCCATAGATAACGTTTTTTGACTCCACATATACCTCAATGCACCACTCACCTTTTTTCCCTCATCAATTCTATGATTAACCTCATCTTCATAAATCCATCCGCCGACACGTCAACTCCCAAGTATCTGAAAACATTTACTTCTTCCATACTCCTCCTCCCTAATTTGATATCCAATTTTTCTTTATCTAAATCATTTGATACCCTCATCACCTTACTCTTTTCTATGTTCACTTTCAACTTTCTACCTTTACACACATTCCCAAACTCATCCACTAACCTTTGCAATTTTTCTTTAGAATCTCCCATAAGCACAGTATCATCAGCAAAAAGTAACTGTGTTAATTCCCATTTTGAATTTGATTCCCCATAATTTAATCCCACCCCTCTCCCGAACACTCTAGCATTTACTTCTTTTACAACCCCATCTATAAATATATTAAACAACCATGGTGACATTACACATCCCTGTCTAAGACCTACTTTTACCGGGAAGTAGTCTCCCTCTCTTCTACACACCCTAACCTGAGCCTCACTATCCTCATAAAAACTCTTTACAGCATTTAGTAACTTACCACCTATCCCATATACTTGCAACATCTGCCACATTGCTCCCCTATCCACTCTATCATATGCCTTTTCTAAATCCATAAATGCAATAAAAACTTCCCTACCTTTATCTAAATACTGTTCACATATATGCTTCAATGTAAACACTTGATCTACACATCCCCTACCCACTCTGAAACCTCCTTGCTCATCCGCAATCCTACATTCTGTCTTACCTCTAATTCTTTCAATTATAACCCTACCATACACTTTTCCTGGTATACTCAATAAACTTATTCCTCTATAATTTTTACAATCTCTTTTGTCCCCTTTCCCTTTATATAAAGGGACTATACATGCTCTCTGCCAATCCCTAGGTACCTTCCCCTCTTTCATACATTTATTAAACAAAAGTACCAACCACTCCAACACTATATCCCCCCCTGCTTTTAACATTTCTGTCATGATCCCATCAGTTCCAGCTGCTTTACCCCCTTTCATTCTACATAATGCCTCACATACCTCCCCCACACTTACATTCTGCTCTTCTTCACTCCTAAAAGATGGTATACCTCCCTGACCAGTGCATGAAATTACCACCTCCCTTTCTTCCTCAACATTTAAAAGTTCCTCAAAATATTCTCGCCATCTACCTAATACCTCCCTCTCCCCATCTACTAACTCCCCTACTCTATTTTTAACTGACAACTCCATACTTTCCCTAGGCTTTCTTAACTTGTTTAACTCACTCCAAAAAAATTTTTTTTCTTTTTTTTCATTAAAATTTTTTTGACATTTTCCCCCTCCCATTCTTTTATCTGCTCCCCTTTTGCACTCTCTCACCACTCTCTTCCCCTTTTCTTTTTACTTCCATATCCTCTGCTTTTCTTATAACACTTCTGCTTGTAAAAACCTCTCATAACCCTAACTTTTTCTCTTTTATCACACCCTTTACTTCATCATTCCACCAATCATCCCCCTTTCCACCCCCCCCCACCCTCCTATAACCACAAACTTTGCCCACATCTAATAACTGCATTTTAAAACTATTCCAACCCTCTTCAACCCCCCCACTACCCATCTTCGACATCCCCCTTTCTGCCAACAGTCGCTTATATCTCCCCCAAACTTCCTCCTCCTTAGTTTATACACTTTCACCTCCCCTTTTACTTGTTTTGCCACCTTCCCTTTTCCCATCCCTCTTACTCTAACTGTAGCTACAACTAAATAATATCCGATATATCGTTCCCCCCTCTATAAACATGTCATCCTGGAGCCTCCCCATCAACCTTTATCCCCCAAATTTACATAATCTAAAACCTTTTTCATTATGTCTACTAACCTTGTATTTTTAAATTATCCTCTTTTCATAAAATATGTATTGCTAATTAACCAAATTCTTTCTACACAAGCTCAATTAAAGCTCCCCATTTAAATTTCCCGGGCACCCAAAATTTACCTACTACCCCCCATAACATTTTTACCCCACTTTAGCATTTAATCCCCAACCCCATTACTTCAATTTGATTCAAAACTCCCACATATGTAAACAAATTAAAAGATATAAAAAACTTTAGCATAAAGCAAGAAAACTAACCTACTGTTTTCCCGGGAAACCCTAAATTAATATTTGTTTAAAACTGTATATACAATGTATGTCAGGATCTTCTTGGAGTATCCAGAGCCAGTACTGAACCTATAACTGATCAAATCTATAAAACTCAAGAAGATTTAAAGATTTGCAACTATTCAACTATGTTGAATAGTGATTAAAGTATTTTCTTTCGGAGATTTTCTTTCTTTTTGGGTTACCCAGCCTTGGTGGGAGACGGCCAACTTGTTGAAAAAAAATATATATATAAAACATGAAATAACTTTAAAACACTTGAAATTTTGCAAAGTTTCCAGACATAATGGAGAGATGCAGTGCTCAAGGAGAATGTAAACAAACTGGGTGGGGCGCGGTGACCATATTTAGAAAATCAGGTGGGGGAGCCGTATAGCGAATTTTGGTCATAATTTGAAATGTCCACATTAGTGAAATGCTGCAAGGCAGGGCCCTATTGTAGTACTTTATTGGGTAGTTGAAGTAAGTAAATGGGCAGTAAAAGGAGTTCTAGCTAAACAGCTATGAGTTTATCTACTCAATACATTTGCAACATCTGCCACATTGCTGCCCTATCTACCCTATCATTTGCTCCCACAAATGCCTTGATACTCCACCCACCTTTTTCCCTTTGTCTATGGTTCATCTTGTCTTTACAGACCCATCTGCCAGTCCTTTCCTTTCCTAAATGGAGGATATGAGTTATCTTCACAAACAAAAAATTAAATACATTTCCATTACTAGTTAGAATATGTTTTACTTAACATGAATATTTATAAATAAATGTTTCTGCAAAATTAGTGTTGCCACTGAATACATACGTGTAAAAGAGTCTCTGCTCAACTGCACATCTCCAGAGGTGTCTGCAAGCAGAAGCTGTTGGGCACTTGAAGCCTACAGTGTGCTTCTTCTGTAAGATTGACAGAATGCAAATAAAAGCAGTCACTAAATTAAAGCATAATCAACATATGTATACACCATAATTACCACAATATTAGACACATAACTAGAAATATGATAAATATGTAAAGGTGTACTGGTATGTACATGTACTGTGAAATGTTGCATTCTATTACCAAATATTAAGCAAGAATGTCATGCATTAAATCCAGTGCAATAAAAACTGGAGATTTAACATATATGAACTTCTACATACCTTAGTTCTTGCATCCTAGTGAACAGCATGTGAAGCATTGTGAACCATCAGTTCAAGAAGCAAAACAGTTTATCTAAAATAATTGAGAAGATTGGTAAATAAAATCATTTTTCTTTTATTAACAAATCGGCTGTTTTCCCACCAAGGTAGAGTGGCCTGAAAAAGAAAAACTTTTACCATCATTCACTCCATCAGTCTTGCCAGAGGTGTGCTTACACTACAGTTATAAAACTGCAACATTAACAACCATCCTTCAGAGTTCAGGCACTGTACTTCCCATCTCCAGGACTCAAATCTGGCCTGCCGGTTTCATAGAATGCTTTCATAAATATTACCCTGCTCAAACTCCAACAGCACATCAAGTCCTAAAAATCATTTGTCTCCATTCGCTCCTAACACGCTCACGCATGCTTGCTGGAAGTCCAAGCACCTCACACACAAAACTTCCTTAACCCTCTCCCTCCAACCTTTCCTAGGCCGAACTCTACCCCGCCTTCCCTCCACTACAGATTTATACACTCTCAAAGTCATTCTATTTTTTTCCACCCTCTCTACATGTCTGAACCCCTCCTCAGCCCTCTGGATAACAGTTTTGGTAATCCCACACCTTCTCCTAATTTCCAAACTATGACTTTTCTGTATTGTATTCACACTACATATTGCCCTCAGACACGACATCTCCACTGCCTCCAGCCTTCTTGTTGCAGCATTCACCACCTATGCTTCACACCCACATAAGAGCGTTGGTATAACTATACTCTCATACATTCCCCTCTTTGCTTCCATGGACAAAGTTCTTTGTCTCCACTGGTAAATAATATGTACTGTAAAACTGGTTTATACAAGCTGGCACAATTGTTATATAGGTAAGTGCTGAGATCCTGATACAATTTGAAGGTTTGTTGAGATCTGTTATTCTCAAAACCTAAAAATTATTGATATAAACAAGAGATTGAGACAGAAAATTTAAATACGTATATGTAAACACAAATAAACAGATATTATAACTTTAGCAATAAATGCAAGACTAACTAACCTACATGCTGCTTTCAGGAACCTAAATTAATATTTGTTTAGAACTGTATATACAATGTATGTCAGGATCTTCTTGGCGTATCCAGAGCCAGTACTGAACCTATAACTGATCAAATCTATAAAACTCAAGAAGATTTAAAGATTTGCAATAAGAGTGGCGCTGAAACCAAAGGATATGGATTAAGAGCAGACTTGAGTAACTCAAATTAATAATGCTAGAAGAGAGGACCCCAGGGAGGACATGATTATGGCATACAAAATAATTAGAAGATTGGACAGAGTGGATAGGGACAGACTACTTGAGATGTGAGAAGGAATGAGGAGACATAGATGGGACAGTGTAATTAAAGATGAAGATGAACCATAGGGATGTTAGGATAATATTTTACACTTTGAATTCTCTGCATAATATTTACACCACACATTGCCCTTAGACAGGACATCTCCACTGCCTCCAACCGCCTCCTCGCTGCAGCATTTACAACCCAAGCTTCACACCCATATAAGTGTGTTGGTACTACTATACTTTCATACATTCCCTTCTTTTACTCCAGTAATAACGTTTTTGTCTCCAAATATACCTCAACGCACCACTCACCTTTTCTTCCCTCATCAATTCTATGGTTAACCTCATCCTTCATAAACCCATCTGCTGACACATCAACTCCCAAATATCTGAAAACATTCACTTCTTCCATACTCCTCTCCAATGTGGTATCCAAATTTTCTTTATCTAAATCATTTGATACCCTCATCACCTTACTCTTATCAATGTTCACTTTCAACTTTCTACCTTTACACACCCTCCCAAACTCGTCCACTAACCTTTGCAACTTTTCTTTAGAATCACCCATAAGCACAGTATCATCAGCAAAACGTAACTGTGTCAACTCCCATTTTGTATTTAATTCCCCATAATTTAATCCCACCCCTCTCCCCAACACCCTAGCATTTACTTGTTTTACAACCCCATCTATAAATATATTAAACAACCATGGTGACATTACACATCCCTGTCTAAGACCTACTTTTACCAGGAAGTAATCTCCTTCTCTTCTACACACTAGGAGGAGAGATAGCAGAGACTGACACTATTCACAAATATGGGAAACCAGTTGATAAGAATAAAGAGGTAGAATCAGGAGTTATGACTCAACCCATGCAAACACAACTAGATGAGCAGAACAAATAGGTGAGTGCACATGCAATGAATGAATAAACTGTACCATAAAGCAGTATACTGTATGTACCATAAAGCAAGGGTTAATTTAGTTATAAAGTAGTAATAACATATATCAAATTATTTCAATATTATACAAACAAACTGTACCTCAGCAAAAATAAGATGCACAATGAACATCTTGCCCTCATAATTAAGCTTCTGAACATCTCCCCACCGGAAGTGATGTGTTTTGCGGGAGCCCTGAAACGTCAAGACTCCAGTGTGGTTTAGGCCAAGATAAAGTTGACTCCCTCGGTGATCCTGATAGTAACAAATCTAACAGTTAGAATAAAAAAAGTGCAGAACAATTTACTACGGTGTAAGCAAAAAAATTCTTAAGAAAATCTACATATGCAAAAAATTATTCAAAACACTTAGTTTAGAAAATCATTAGCATATAAAAATACATCAGTACTACATATGCAAAAAAAAGCAAATAATAAAAATGCATAACATACATTGTAGTGTCTGAATGTTTACGTGAAAACATCATTACATTCTTAACTGTATGCAGAATATGTATAGCCAAAAGTTAAAGAACCTCTTGAGTGCTCCAAAACAGAAGTGTTCTAAAGATAAGGCTAAGGGCAATGCTATTGTTTCCATACCTATTCCAGTCATTATTTTGAAGTTAATAAAATCTTCTTAGTTGAAGAAACACTCAACTCACTAATAAAAATAACTTATAGAAAATTATGATTATGCCTGGAAGGAATAACTATGCATGAGTGGACACAAGCCCAACCAACTAAATCAAGCCCCGCTTGTTTTGTGATTTGTTTACAGCCACATTACGATTTCATAAGGCAACCAAAGTAGAAGCCAGTATACATCCCTAGCTTCCAAACTAGCTGGACTCCCGTGTTTTTCAACTACAAGTGAGTTGTTTGTACAGAAAGAAGAATAAAAAGAATTCATACATTACACCCTACCTCGGTGAGAAACGGCCAGTGTTAAAAAAAATAAAATTCACAAATCCTCAAGAGTGCTAAAATGTTGCCTATTATTAACCAAAGAAACCACAAAACCTTAAACAAGAAATTACCAACTAATAGTTTCAAACACGTCTGTCTATGAGGCCAAGCAAACTGTACTTTATTAAGAGAGCAAGGCTACCTATAGAGTGCAAAACAGTGATATTGTTCAGCTCCCCTAGATGATGAGCAACTGATTTCACAATATGGAAATCTTTTTGCAAAATACCTGTACATACCACTAAACTACAAATTCTTGATTCAACCCATGAATTTGCAGTTAAGTTTGCATTCTGATCACAGGTCAATGGATAGCATAAAATTCAGCTTACTAGCAAGGCCTATAAAGACAATGGTTCAGGTAATGTAGATTTCAAAGGATTCACAAAAAAATATTCATGACTGGCAAAACTGTCACAAAGATCTTCCTGTTCATAACACTTATTGATACTTGGATTATTAAATATACAGCTTTGTTACTGTCCATAGGCACTCACACAATGAGTCAACATTTGGTCTCCGATTTTTCCCTGGATTTAGTGTTTTTTGCCACTTTATTAATATACTACACTGTTATTAACAATGGCCTCTAAAGCAAGTGTTGGTACCTAGAGGAAATGCGTGAATCTGGGTGTCAATCAGAAACATGAACTAATAATGAAGGAGAAGGTTGGTTTGTCATTATCACGTCTAAGAGGAACATGATGTAGCAAAGCAACATTGTCTGATATATGCAGAAGCAAGGACAAATTTACAGCATATGCTACTAAGTTTAGCATGGATGTCAGCCAAAAAGGTTCATCAGGTCCTTGGAAGCAAATAAAAATGGCCCAAAATATAAGGATTAAAGGAGCATTGTATATTATATGGTATATTCAATAATGTTCCGTTTGTGCTAATGTCCGTTGTATTGATCTTCACTCTGCTAAAAGGCTATAAAAGCACATGGACATAGAATTTTGGGCAAGTGATAGTTGACTTCAGCATTTACATAATCACCACAGCTTGAGTAATGTAAAAACCTATGGAGTGGTTGATGTACAATTATCTGATACACAATGAGGAGCTCCTTTTACCTCTGCTGTATAATGTTGATGAGACTGGTTTCTTTTGGCTTTCACTCCTAACACTTTAGCCTTTCAGGATGAAAATGGATACTTAGGCCCTAAACTCAGCAAAAACTGCTTCTCTGTATTATTTTGTGCTCATGTTGATGATAAGCACAATTTGAAACTGTCACTCTAGGTAAAATTAGTATAACCATATGTTTTAAATGATTATATAGAAGAGATGCAGTTATCTATTACAAACGTAAGAAAGGCCAGTTTAACTGGGAGCAAGGGGCTAGTAACCCCTTCTTCTGCGTAAATTACTAAAAATAAAAACAGCTTATAAAGTTGGGATGTCTAAATGTGCATGGATGTAGTAAAGAGCTTCAGTGGGGAGAAATAATGGGATTAGGCAAGGAGTACCTCTGTGTGTGTGTGTGTGTGTGTGTGTGTGTGTGTGTGTGTGTGTGGTGTGTGTGTGTGTGTGTGTGTGTGTGTGTGTGTGTGTGTGTGTGTGTGTGTGTGTGTGTGTGTGTGTGTGTGTGTGTGTGTGTGGTGTGTGTGTGTGTGTGTGTGTGTGTGTGTGTGTGTGTGTGTGTGTGTGTGTGTGTGTGTGTGTGTGGTGTGTGTGTGTGTGTGTGTGTGTGTGTGTGTGTGTGTGTGTGTGTGTGTGTGTGTTGTGTGTGTGTGTGTGTGTGTGTGTGTGTGTGTGTGTGTGTGTGTGTGTGTGTGTGTCTGAGAGAGAGAGAGAGAGAGAGAGAGAGAGAGAGAGAGAGAGAGAGAGAGAGAGAGAGAATGAGAGAATGAGAGTATGAGAGAGAATGAGAGAATGAGAGAATGAGAGAATGAGAGTATGAGAGAGTATGAGAGAGTATGAGAGAGAGAGAGTATGAGAGAGAGTATGAGAGAGAGTATGAGAGAGAGAGAGTATGAGAGAGAGAGTATGAGAGAGAGGAGAGAGTATGAGAGAGAGAGAGAGAGTATGAGAGAGAGAGAGAGAGTATGAGAGAGAGAGAGAGAGTATGAGAGAGAGAGAGAGAGTATGAGAGAGAGAGAGAGAATGAGAGAGAGAGAATGAGAGACCACTTCATCATGAGGAGCCAGTCTATCAGCATCCTGTCGGCCAACATTAGAGGTTTCATCACTAATGTTGGAGAGCTCACACATAGCTTTGTGAACACTCGACGTCCCGACATGATAGCTTTTGTTGAAACATTTTTGGATGACAGGACTCCAGAAAATTTTGCAAGAATTGCTGGCTACACCTCATGGATGAGAAGAGACAGGCAAGGGCAAGGAGGAGGTGTTGCTGTGTGCAACACCTGTGTGTTCATGCCCAGCACATTGATGTTGCCACCCTTACACATCTTGAAATGATGTTCTTCAAGCTCTGTATAAACACTAGTACCTCTGTACTAGCATGTGCAATGTACAGACCTCAGTGGCAACATGCAGACCCCATCAACTTCCTAATGGAAAATATTGACTCCCTTCTGCTACAACACAACTGTCAACATATTATAATTGTTGGTGACCTCAACCAGCACCTTATACAGAGGGACTTTGATGACCTTCTTGCAGTGTTTGACATGAGAAACTTTGTTGATTTCCCTACTCATATCTCTGGCTCCTCCCTTGACTCAGTAGTGAGTGATCTGGCAGAAGGCATAGTCACTTGTCAACCCCTCAGCTACGTTGGATCGTCTGACCACAAGGCTGTTTTTACGACACTTAAGATCCCAACAGAACGAGGTGAGGAGTCCACACGCACAACCTGGCTATGGGAAAGAGGTAATTGGCCAGCCCTTTGCTCTGAGCTCGCCACCACCGATTGGAATGCTCTTCTCCAAGGGGATGTTGACAACCAAGTGAAAGCCTTCACTGGACACATCCTTAATCTACAACAAGAACACATTCCTCACCGGCAATATGTGACGAAGCCTACAGATCAGCCTTGGTTTGGCTTTCGTTGTAGAGAGGCTGCTACTGCTAAGTACAAAGCATGGCGAAGGTATAAGAGACATCCTACCACCTATAACAGGAACTTGCACAGGCAAGCCTGTAGGCATATGGGTGATGTTCAAAATTGGGCCATTGCTAAATGGGAGGTGGACACTAAAAGAAAGCTTGCATCAGTAGGGTAGCTCCAAAACCTGGTGGTCCCTGGTCAAGGACAGACAAGGTTATCTGCCTGATGAACTTATTCCACCTCTAAATCGACAGGATGGGACCACCTCTACTAGTAGTCAAGAGAAGGCGGACCTCTTTGCTGAACACTTGCTACCAAAATGCAAGTTCCTGATCCAGCAAGGGTCCCTCCTTGGCTAGCTGCAAGAACTGTGTCAAAACTGTCAGTGGTGACAATAAGGCAGGAGGAGGTGCATTTCCTTCTTAAATCGCTGGACCAAGAAAAGGCTGTGGGCCCAGACAAGTTGAGCCCAAGATTGTTGAGAAGATGTGCAGACCAGCTAGCAGCACCTCTAACTTGCATCTTTCAGCACTGCCTAGTACAGTGTAAATGGCCCTCTCTATGGAAAGAGGCAAATGTAGTCCATGTTCACAAAAAGAAGAGCAGAGCAGAAATCAGCAACTACAGACCAGTGTCACTCTTGTCAATCACTGGTAAGATCCTTGAGACAATAATCTCAAGACAAATGACAGAGTTTTTTGACTACCACTCACTACTTTGTGATCGTCAATATGGCTTCAGGAAAGGTTACTCTGCTGCTGATCTGTTGTTAAACCTCTCCACTAAGTGGCACCAGTCACTGGATGAATCCAAAGTCAGCTGTGTGGTAGCACTGGACATTGCTGGCGCTTTCGACCGGGTGTGGCACCAGGGCCTCTTAGCAAAACTTCAAGCATTGATAATTGCAGGCTCTACGCGATGTCTCCTCAGTGATTACCTTCATGGTAGATCTCTAAGTGTAGTTCTCAATGGAACGGAATCAGCAAGACATCCTATTGGGCAAGTGTCCCACAAGGAAGCGTGCTGGGTCCATTGTTATGGAATGTCTACTTCAACGACCTTCTTCATCTCATCCCAGAATCACATGCATATGCAGACAACTGTACACTGACATTCACTTATCCAAGAGAAGAAATGCCAGCTGCTCTAAGCTACATCAATCACCAGCTGAGAGCTGTATCAGCTTGGGAAATAGATGGCAAGTAACATTTGCACCTGAGAAAACGCAATGATGATCGTCTCTAGGCACCATGATGGTAATGCTGGGGC